AGTTCGTTACACTGTGTAGATATTACTACTATCTACACAGTGCAACGCACTTTCACTGAAGATAGAGGTACTATCTACACAGGGCAACGCACTTTTACTGAAGATTATCCAAAAGCGCACTTAAACAGGCGTAATTAAGCGCGCATTACCAATTAGCGCAATTATTAAAGCAAACACATACGCGCACAGTACCCTCAAGGGGTTGGGTTAAACTTTTAACTTTTTTGTGTAAATTTGGGCCTGGTGTCTTTCATGTATAAACGTCCTTTTCTTTTTGTAGTTAAATTGTTTTAGATGTGGAATATAAAGCAAATAATCACCTTTTGGTTTCATGCGATGGCAAATTATCACTTCCTCGTCGATCAGAATGTATACGCTATCTTTCCTCAGCTTCGCTTCGGAGAAGATATCTACATCCAGATCGCCTCGGAAGGGATAGTTTGTCCCATCACCTTCAGCAACGGTAGTTATTTGCTTAATATTGACTAAGTAGGCCCTGTAGTGTACCATTCGTCTAAACCATTAAAGGGGGAATGAAGTGTGCGTGTGTGTGGGGAGGGGGGAGGGGTGGCACCGCCTCTCAATGAGATAAAAATGTGGATAGAATATGGATAAAATTAGAATTAGCACAGCCTTTTATCTCTCAAGTCTAACTTTCTCTCTCTCTCTCCCTCCTTTTACTTTTCTCTCTCCCTCTTTCTCTCTCTCTCTCTACCCATACAGACGTCATTGCCCAGGCGCTACACGTTGAACTTCGCCGTCTGAATGACGTAATGACTGGCCACGGCCAACCCGTCACATTGACCTTTAACATTGACGTCCTATTCGACGAATTCTCGCAGACGACGAGCGTGACCGGTAAACGCCTATGGAAGGTCTCGGCGTGGGCGAGCAGCTACCCTGACGGGGGAGGAGCGCGACACGGCTACGTCGACCAAGTCCTCACCGCGCGACAGGCGTCACGGTTCCACAAAAAGGATACCGATTTCGTCATCAATGACATCACCTTTGACCTCGTTCCTCCATCTTGTGAAGCTGTGCGCCATATTTGCCTCAGTTTTGCCCGGGGTGACGCACCTACCACAAAATCGGGACTGGAGCTCATTTTTACCGGACCTAGGGAGGATAGCCGAGATATCAGGAAGTGTGTGCCAGCGCCAACTTGCAATGGTAAGTTTTATTTAGAGTCTACAACGAGCAAAATACCAGCTGCACAACAGGCGTCAATTCGATTGCTTTATTACCTCCGCTAGTTTATGGTGTAAAGGTGGTCATCATATATAATCTAACACAATGTCAATCTTTGAACTGTTCGTTTTACATTCTTTTTGGTCACGCCAATTGAAGACACATGGAACGTCAAAGATCATGCCATTCCTTTTCCTACATCAGAAGAAAAAAAAGAAGAAAGGAGTGAACCCTTTCCTCATTTTTCAAACAAAATGCCCAGGTATCCCAGCTCTCTTTGAGGTTAAAGTTCATTATCAAATCATGTGACCCCTATTGTCATGAGCATCAGCTGTAATAAGGTTAAGTAACGATCATGATCCCTGACCTATATAAAGGTTATTGAATTATCTCTCAAAACAAGAGCACTGGCTCTCTTCCAAATCAAACAGTGGCGCGATACCCCCTTGCTGCACCATGGCACGTTAAATAACTTTTTAAAAAAAATAAAAAAAATAAACAATCAAACAAACTAATGAAGAAACAAACAAATAAATGCAGCCGGGGCTGAAAGTGAAAGGATTTCAGGGCAGAAGGGGGTGTGGATGTTTTGGTGCTGTAAATTTTGAAACAAAATCAATTCAAATCACATCTTTACACAGAGCAGCCTGTTCAGCTTGTAAGCAATTCAAAATGAATAATTCAAAAACAAGCATAGAATACATGAACAATGATTGTAATAGAAGTTTGATATACGAACAAATATAAAAAGCTGGGCTCTATTTCACAAAACTTTTCATCAGTGACAAATTACAGTTTGTGTTATAAGCTAGGAAAATCCTTGCTTTTGATTGGTTATCAGCAGATTTGTCACGGATCTGTTTCAATTTGTCATCGAAAAAGGATTTTGTAAAATGGGTCCCAGGTATTTCATAGGGGAAACTGTATGATAGTCAAATGATAAGAATAACGTACATTGGGTGATCAACTAAAGGAGACTAAACTAAAGGAGCATGGTGCAATCAGATTCCCCTCCTCATCCTCTTACATGGACCCCGCCAGGTACATTTATTGTTCTGTTATGAAAACTATATAACGGCAGACTTATTTCCCTTGTTAAGACCGATTTTAAACGAAATGTACTCCCTGGGTATAAATGGTTTTCAATATTGCCTCCCGGCTTAAGCGGGGCAACCAGCTAGCGCAACGGGTCCGCGGCGGTCAGGGCACCACCAAAATACTTTTTTTTTGCCTTAGGCCATGGGGTTTAAGGTTGTCAAAATCAAGATTTACTCCCTGGGTATACCTGTACGGGGCTATAGAACAATTTTCACGGCTTTATATGTTTAGTAGAATACCGTCCGAGGTACCAAGCGAGGAGTCTGGGAGGTGTCGTAATCTAGTGGATACATCAGCGGACTGTGGATTACATGGTTCGCGATTCGAGTCCCCATTCGGTACTAATTTCATTTGGAAAGACATTAACTTACATTTTCCAAATTACTTGACCTAGGTTAGGTAAATGGGTACCTGGCAGGAATAAATTTCTTGAAATGCTAGAGCGCAGCCACGCTAGACGGGGTGTTACGTATTACGGAGCTGCAGGAGTTTCAAGTCTGACAGACATGGGTGCTATACAATAACCCACCATTATTATCGTCAGTATTTTATTAGCACTATTCTGTAAACACAGTAGACTAGAGGTAAATAAGGGAGGGTGGACCCCCACGTCCATCAATTTCCATGGCTTCAGCAGAAACATCATTCCTTTATTACAAATCTTTCCCAGGCGCAAAACCCCCGACCCCCACGTCCATCAACTTCCATGGCTTCAGTAGAAACACCGTTCCTTTATTACAAATCTTTCCCATACGCGAACCCCCCGACCCCCACGTCCATCAACTTCCATGGCTTCAGTAGAAACACCATTCCTTTATAACAAACCTTTCCCAGACGCAAAACCCCCGACCCCCACGTTCATCAACTTCCATGGCTTCAGTAGAAACATCATTCCTTTATTACAAATCTTTCACAGACGCAAAACCCCCGACCCCCACGACCATCAACTTCCATGGCTTCAGTAGAAACATCATTCCTTTATTACAAATCTTTCACAGACGCAAAACCCCCGACCCCCACGTCCATCAACTTCCATGGCTTCAGTAGAAACATCATTCCTTTATTACAAATCTTTCACAGACGCAAAACCCCCGACCCCCACGTCCATCAACTTCCATGGCTTCAGTAGAAACATCATTCCTTTATTACAAATCTTTCACAGACGCAAAACCCCCGACCCCCACGTCCATCAACTTCCATGGCTTCAGTAGAAACATCATTCCTTTATTACAAATCTTTCCCAGGCGCAAAACCCTGACCCCCACGTCCATCAACTTCCATGGCTTCAGTAGAAACATCATTCCTTTATTACAAATCTTTCCCAGGCGCAAAACCCTCGACCCCCACGTCCATCAACTTCCATGGCTTCAGTAGAAACATCATTCCTTTATTACAAATCTTTCCCAGGCGCAAAAACCCCGACCCCCACGTCCATCAACTTCCATGGCTTCAGTAGAAACATCATTCCTTTATTACAAATCTTTCACAGACGCAAAACCCCCGACCCCCACGTCCATCAACTTCCATGGCTTCAGTAGAAACATCATTCCTTTATTACAAATCTTTCCCATACGCAAAACCCCCGACGCCCACGTCCATCAACTTCCAACGGCTTCAGCAGAATCATCATTTTTTTAAATTTCAAATCTTTCACAGACGCAGAACCGCTACAACCCAAATCGTACAAGGGTCAGACGTGTAGATCCGGAGGACGGGAATACCAAGCCGGTGAAGAATGGAAGAAAACCGATTGTGAAAATTGTGTTTGTGTTGAGGGACGTCCGGAGTGTACTACTGAACAATGCTCACAAACTGACTGCGATGACCCAATACAAGTCGAAGGAGTGTGTTGCAGTCTCTGCCCTTTTTGTAAGTTCACATGCTCTATTCCGTTCTGTTCCGTTCTGCTCCATTCTGTTCTGTTCTTTTTCTCTTCTGTTCCCTACCTTTATAATCTCGTTGCTTTCTTTCCCTCGTATTGTGCTACTCAACTTTATTTTAATGGTAAGGGGGAAAGATCAATAAAAACGACTTTCATTTTCTTCCGAAGCAAACAAATTTGTCTGTAAAGTCGATGAGAAGCAAATAAACAAAGAACAAAGAAAGATGGAGGCAGATTGAGTTTCGCTGGGTGGGGAAGGGGGAGCGGAAATTCCACGTGTTTTGTGTCTAGTTATGTCGGGTTTCAACTGTGTATCTACCATTGAGTTTGTAAACACGACTGCCAATGTATTATAAACAGAAAACTTCTCAAAATGAACGAATTTTTGTTCACTTTTCCTCAAAATGTCATCAAAATGATTCCTTGATTTTTCTTTCACATTTCCGCACACTACCACACACATATCTGAATTATCGATCTCTGTTCTACACACGCTCTCCAGTCTCTTCACTCAATTATCATTTAAACATAAAGGAATGTCAGTCACTACATGCAAATAATTGAAACAAATGAAAACAAGATGTGCATATGAACTATACAATTTAATATGTAGAAATGAATACAAATAGATGTGTATACATGTGCAAATCTATTACTTTTACGAAGAAAAACTCATCTTCATTTAACAGCTAAATGAAGATAAATTAATATTCGTTCCCACAGAAAGTGAGGATAAATTAATCTTCGTTCACATAATCAAAAGAGGATGAAGTAATCTTCGCTAATAATAATACGTTTCCTCAATACGTCCTCTCATGTAAACTCGCCTTTAGTTGTGGTCGTATACAGACTCGCATACTCCACGAGAGGGCCGTACGACTACAATACGGGGCAGATCAGATACCTCGACGTCAATCTCATCCTCAGCTTCAAAGAGAAAAAAAAAAGAGCCACCGGGGTGAGCGGGCAACAACTTTGGAAGATGAGTGCGTGGGCGAGCACGAATGACAAAGGGACTGGATCACGAATGATGTACGTCGACCAGATACTCGACGAGAAGCAACAATCGCAGACCTACATCAAAGGAAAGAAGTTCGAGATAAAAAGTGAGTCCCATTTTTAATTATCGCAATTTCTATCCATATTAAAAGACGAACAAGCCAAGGGAAGACCCATTTTATCACAGAGCTATTTTGTTGGTCTGTTTTACTGTGTTCGTTTACCCTTTTAGATTGAAAGCGCCTATAGTATTTCTTTTTGTACATCACAGTATTTACATTTTGATGAAAAAAAGTACAGTTGTTAACTTTTTGTTTATCTCAGAACGGTCTCTGTTTCTTTTATCACATCCCGATCTATCATCATGCTCATGGTCAAATACTATTACAATGATGTCAGGACCCACCAAATATATTATGCTGGGATTAAATGGACCAAAACAAACAAACAAATACACAAAAACAAATCTAACAAGCAAACTAAAAATCAAACCAAAACAAGAAAAGAGAAGGGAGTAGGATCTCGCTGATCCTAACTCCCTTATAAAGATAAATGATCCATAACCCACGCCGGACACAATTCAACTCCAGTCATCTATAAACCAGTATACTGTACGATAATCATTACAGGACTCTGTTTCATGAAACTTGTCATCAATAACAAGTTGAAATCGTGGCATCTGATTGGCTGAAAGCTAATTTGTTATATAATTTTAGCATTTGTTATTGATGATAAGTTTTATAAAACAGGGCCCAGGTGGGCGTTTCAGATAACTTGTCATCAGTGACAAATGGCAGTTCTTGCTTCTGATTGGTTATCAGCAGATTCGTCACTGATTTTTGTTATTCGTCATTGAAAAAAGGCTTTGTGAAACGGGTCCCAGATGTTCTTTGACCACGTTGACGAGTGTAGGCCCGATTCCAATAGTTCGGCAAAGCTCGGCATGTGTCAACGTATCCCGAATACCGTTCGGAATAGTATGTAGTAAAACAATGTGTCTACGGGTCGGAAACCTTTAAAGCTTTGCAAAATGTAGCACACATTCAGCAGATTGCAACATTCAATATTGCCACAGGTCATCATAAATTAAATGATCGAAAATTTGACCCTGTTATCATGAATCTTATCGGAGTTCTCTTTTTAGCCCCGTATGGCGTAGTGGAATTTTCTCCTTGTTCATCTCTTTTAACATGTATAACTTGATTCAAATTTGTAAATTGTAATGTTTAATCGACTTTTATCGTGTTTCCCTTTTAGAAGCAAGGTATGATCTAGAGAATTACGAATGTGAGCTGGTGCGGTATTTCTGTTTCGCATTTGGTATTGGAGATGATCCACAACCTGAACATGGCCTCGGGTTTGAACTTCAGGGAATAAATCACGATCTGATCAAATGCATAGACGCTCAAGATTGCCTACGTGAGTATGGTGTTCTACAAATGGTATTCTGAAGGGCGGCACTGGAGTGTTATGCTAGTGGTGCACATATATGAAAAATGGTCATGCTTTTTCATATATGCAGGAAATGTATCTTTTAAAGAAAAGGTTGAGTTATAGTGAGAGGTGAAAAATAATTTGTGAGCATTATAATTGTTATTATGCAACTGGGAAGAACATCAGAGAAAAAGGGTTCCCTGAAAAGCATGACTCTTCAAATGCATTTATATTCTAAAAATGACACGTAACAGCTTAAAATGAGGCCCGATTTTGGTGACGAAATATAGAGGTGTTAAAACAAAGCGGGTGACGAAATATAGGGTGTCAGAACATAAGGATGACAAAAATGACGGGTGTCGGAACAAAGCGGGTTACGAAATAAGGGGTGTCAGAACATGGGGATGACAATAATAAAGGGGTGTCGAAACAAATCGGGTGACGAAATAAAGGGGTGTCGGAACAAATCGGGTGACGAAATAAATGGGTGTCGGATCAAAACGGGTGACGAAATAACGGGGTGGCGGATCAAATCGGGTGACGAAATAACGGGGTGTCGGAACAAATCGGGTGACGAAATAAAGGGTGTCGAAACAAATCGGGTGACAAAATAACGGGGTGTCGGATCAAATCGTGCAACGAAATAACGGGGTGTCCGAACAAATTGGGTGAAGAAATAACGGGTGTCGAAACAAATCGGGTGATGAAATAACGAGGTGTGGGATCAAATCGTGCAACGAAATAACGGGGTGTCCGAACAAATCGCGTAAAGAAATAACGGGGTGTCGGAACAAATCGGGTGACGAAATAACGGGGTGTCGGAACAAATCGGGTGACGCAATAACGGGGTGTCGGAACACATCGAGTGACGAAATAACGGGGTGTCGGAACAAATCGGGTTACGGAATAACGGGGTGGCGGAACAAATCGGGTTACGAAATAACGGGGTGTCGGAACAAATCGGGTGACGAAATAAAGGGTGTCGAAACAAATCGGGTGAGAAAATAACGGGGTGTCGGGTCAAATCGTGTAAAGAAATAACGGGGTGTCGGAAGAATTCGGGTTGCGAAAAAACGGGGTGTCCGAACAAATCGCGTAAAGAAATAACGGGGTGTCGGAACAAATCGGGTGACGAAATAAAGGGTGTCGGAACAAATCGGATGAGGAAATAACGGGGTGTCGGAACAAAGCGGGTGACGAAATAACGGGGTGTCGGAACAAATCGGGTGAAGAAATAACGGGTGTCGGAACAAATCGGGTAACGAAATAACGGGGTGTCGGAACAAATCGGGTTACGAAATAACGGGGTGTCGGAACAAAGCGGGTTACGAAATAACGGGGTGTCGGAACAAATAGCGTGAAGAAATAACGGGGTGTCGGAACAAAGCGGTTGACGAAATATCGGGATCTTAAAACATAGGGATGACAATAATATAGGGGTGTTGGAACAAATTGGGTGAAGAATAAAGAGGAGTCGCAACATAGGGGGGGGGGAACGAAATATTTAGGTGTCAGAACATAAGGATGACAACAATATAGGGGTGTCAGAAAATAAGGGGTGACTAAATAAAGGGTGTCGAAATAGAAAGGTGGTGTAATATTAGGTTATTGGAACGTAGGAGTGACGAAATATTTGGGTGTGGGTACATAGTTGTGACAAAATATAGGATTGTCGGAACATAGGGCTATCAAATATAAAGGTATAGGAACATACGGGTACCGGATTTTAGGGCTAGGAAATTAATGTAATGAAATGTTGAATTACACATGTTCTCCAGAACATGAAGAAGAAAATACAAACATTGTTTTTATGCATCTGAGCGTGCATATATGAGATGCGTGTTTAAGTGACAATAAGATGATCAATATGTTCTGATTTCTATTATATGTAGCTGACGAAGATCTGGACAGTCACTGGGTAGACCCCGATGCCCCAGTAGAAACAACAACGCAACCACCTCCAACAACAACGCTACCACCAACAACTACAACGCTACCACCAACCACCACAACAGTCAGAACAACCACTACTACCCGGCGTCCCATTGTCGACTCAAACTTAGTCGAGGGAACAACTGGAGACAACAATGGAGCTTCGTCGGGGAAAGGCAAAGGCAAGGGAAAAGGGAAGGGAAAGGGTAAGGGTAAGGACAAAGACAGAGGCACTACTACTGGTGGTGGTGGTGGTGGTGTTGGAAGTCGGCCAGACCCTTGGGTACCTGTCTTCTCGGAAGTTGAACCGCGCCCTCCACGTCCTTGTGTCACACGGGTTACCGAGCATCGCCATGGGAAACGGTGGGACGCTGGTCCGTGCACGAGGTGTCAATGTAATGATGCATCCATCCGATGTCTCATCAAGAGTTGCCCACCGTACTTCTGCTACGAACCAATCGAGATAGAGGGCGAGTGCTGCCCCTTCTGTCCCTCAAGTGAGTTGATATCCGCTACCGAAAATTATTTCTATTATTACGTAATTAGAATGTATCGAGCGATTGTCGCCGAATCATTTATATATTGACAATCCTTCCACTTCACCAACTTGGCAATGAATGCTTTTATAGTACATCCTTTTGTACAATTACGTGAAAATAACTCAAGCATCGATGTTTTGTATTTTGCGTCGAACTCCAGTATTTTGTTTGACAGTGGAAATTTAACGGTTGACTTGAAACTTAGTGTACTCATGTAAAATCTTTAGAAAAGACGTCAGAGAAAGAGTTTTAAGCACAACGAAAGATAAGAATCAAATATATGAATATGAAAAAGAAATAATAATATCTTGATTTTCCTCTTTTCATTTTTTTTAACGCTTTAAGATGTGCTCGTTACCCAAGTTACACCAGCAATCATGTCTAACATCGGAGAACTAAGATCAGGCCAACGGGTCTCACTCTCCCTCATGGTGAATGTGACCTTCAGAGAGTCTTGGGATACTACCGGTGTTTCCGGCGAGGACTTATGGAAGATCTCGGTATGGACAAGCCGCAGACCCGAAGGAACGAACCCCTCCAACATGGTAGACCAGGCCCTCAACGACAAGCAGAGAGTTCAGAAGTACGTCCGGGGTCATCCATTCGCGTTTCAAGGTGTCAGTTATCGGATGAGGGTTAACAGCTGCCAGGATGTCCGCTACGTCTGCATCAAGTTCGGTCAGTCGGAAAACCCGCTAACGCAACACGGCTTTGGCTTCCACTTGCGAGCGCGGCCCGATGAGGGCGTGCTTGAAGTCTGTAAGCGTCTTCCAGATTGCAGAAGATAGTTTCTCTGGCAGCGCAAGTAAATCCAAAGTAGTTAGAGACAATTTTCAAATACTAATGTCGGGAATTGTTTTTACGGAACTAAGAAGGCAATTGTACCCGGAAAAAAACACCTCTGGAGATGGGTACGCTATTCTGTTAGCATTAGCTTTGTAATATGATTATGGTGTGTTCTTCAAAAGCCGTACCTGGAAAAGACAAGAAAAATCTGGAAATTAGTGGTATTTGAACGGCTGTATAAACGTGTATGTTCATTACTTGGCAGTTATACACTCTCTTTCAAGACTTATTGATAGATACATGAAGATCAATCAGGATGATTGCTTTTGCATTCCTTAACATTTATTGTAACATTTGTACGATTCTATGATTATTTATGTAGGTTCTCTCATGGTAACCCTTCAATGGCTTTGGTGTACTAGTGGGACACATAACAGCACTGATAATGAATTGCATTTCTATAGCGCGGAGCACCAAAAATGCAATCCCTATGTTCTAACTATACATTGTGCAAGACTGATTTGGGGTTGTACCTAATTCTCTCGATCACCCCACTTTTTAATTATCTGATAGGTAATTTATGCAAAACTGTAAAATCCTATTGAGACGACTGCTGGATACGTGTTCATGAAAGTTGTGTAAAAATTACTCATTCATGTACCAACCATTCTATGATACACAGGTGGAAGTATAGAATACCAAAGTGCTTACATCATATTCGCTCATCATCCAAGTTACTGGTTCCAAACAAAATAGCCTGCTCATGAGGTTTATCGCAAAACCATTCAAGCAATGGGGTGGAGCGTGGCAAATTCAGTGTTTGGTGCTTGTGTGGAAGTTTGGAACCAGCAACCTTGGCGATGTGGCCAGTATGACATCACACTTTGGCCAGTATGACATCACAATGTGGCCAGTATGACATCACACTTTGGCGAGTATGACATCACAACGTGGCCAGTATGACATCACACTTTGGTACTCTATTCTTTTCAAAACGGTAATCAAAAGGTATTCACAAAGCACCTCCATGAATTTGATAGTGATTATTCTGAAATATGGGACAAATATTCTTGGACTAACCCAGATATACCTGAAGATAGTCACATGGGTAGAGGTCAAAGGTCATTTGTTATCACTTAAGTTTAAACTCAAAAGTCATATTGAATGGAAAATGGTAATTTTCCTTTAGTTTTGATAGATGTATTATTCATTAGTGCAAATTAAAATATAAAAACATTCTTTTCAGTGATAATTTACAAGTATTTTTTATAGATGTATTTTGAAATGTTTTTCTCTTTCATTTTAATTTTTGGTTCTGCATGCAATCTATGTAAATATATAGAATATAAATTAAAACGATATCAGATAGTAATTTTCTAAAACTATTATAGAAGGTAGTTGTATTAAAAGTGATTCAATATTTTCTAATTAAAGTTGTCTATTCTTTCTTTTGTCCGACACACTTGTAGTCACATAGCCCAAGCTTTTTTTTATTAGTGGACAGTTTTGGTTTTGTTGTTTGTCATTCTGTCTCTGTCTGTATGCCTCTCTCTTGCTCCCTCTCTCTCTCTCTCTCTCTTTCTCTCTCTCTCTCTCTCTCTCTCTCACTTTCTCTCTCCACATTATTTCTCGGGCTTCATCTTTTCTTGTATTTTCTTTACCTATTTTCTCTCTATCAATATGCATCTATTTTCTTTGATATTGCATGTCACATGTTTGATGCCTTTATGACAGGAAAACATTACTCCTTATACACGTCCCTCTCCCCTCCTCACCCTCTCTCTCTCTCTCTCTCTCTCTCTCTCTCTACCTTCCTCTCCCTTTCTGTAAACATTTAAGGCTGATGTGTTGGATATATTAATGAATGAAAGCACTCTTTGACAGATGGAAAGTTGAGAACTGAGAAGCTGTTATCCTTTTTGTGTTTCTTTCAATCATTGTAACTGAAAATTAGATTTTGTCAATACCTCCCCATTTCTTTTAATCTTTTTATTTTGGCTTCATAGAAAATTATTGTTGGTATCTGTATCTACATATCACTTTGTCTCTCTCCCTCTGTATGTCTCTCTCTCTCTCTCCCCCTCCCTTCCTTCCTCTCTCTATCTATCTCTGTCTGCTGCTGTTCTTTCTGAATGTTTATATATTACACCGTAGACACTGATTTTCTTCATTTAAACAAAAAATATAAGTGTATTATTACTATATACTCTGCCTGTCATCAAACTCGATAAATGTTATATCACATGTAATGGTCGGTGTGGATATTTGGACTCTTGGACTATTTTTTTCAAGACATTAAAGCCTCACTGCACTACTTATAGCTACTTGCGCCCTCTATATAGCAAACAATGCCTAAGCGATGACCATTTGTCCCCCATGGTCCCCTTTTCTTATGGTAATTGAGCGCTGATTTAATGAGATAACCACCTGTCAGTGACCATGCAGGAGGTCTAATCCATCCTGGCCAAACTAGAGCAGATAGGTTTTAACATTCCCTCACTAAACACAGACCTATTAGGCCTATCTTTATCTGTATCCGTCTTTTCATATGTGGAAATATTTTTTTGCTGCCATTTTCTCTGCTTTTCTTCGATTAGTTAATAGACAAAATGATTTAGGGGAAGGATTTAGAAAAAAACAAAGATAGTTGAAAATGTATTCACAGTTTAAATGAGTCCCCCAAAAACACATCTTCTTTGCTTTTTATTGTCTTCGCCATTCCGACTAGTTTTAGACTATTTCATTTAGACTATAGAGTAGGGACATTATTATAAGTCGCCCCTTAAACATAATTTTATGAAAAAGCTGGGTAAACCGAATGATGCATTTCCTTAAATGGAATGTCAAACAAATCTTCTTTGAAGTCCATTAGCATGGGAAGCGATGCGTAGATCACTTTCTGTGGTATTTTGTTTTGGCCACTCCTCTGTGACGTCACTAATTCAATGCCACTTACCTGGTAGAGGTTAATGTCTCGATCAGTGAGGGCAGCAGTACATTGCCACATCAAATCAGCTCATCCTTATTACGGGTAGGAAAATGGCGTGGGGAGTGAAGAGGGGATGTACAAAATGAGTTTGTGATGAGAAAAAGACTTTACTCCCTGCCCCCCCCCCCGCTTTTTAGTGACTCGTCTTTTGTGAAATGGCAAAGTACCTTTTTATATTTTTTAAATGATATAATGCTTACCTAGCTGACGATCTACACGATGAACACTTATTGTTTATTTCAGCAGATATAAATCACAATTATATTTCCTATAACTAATCTTATCATTCATGACTAAGGGGGACCGGAGGAGATGTGGAAGGACAAGAAGCAGAAGGGGAAGATGAAGGAGGGGGATGACATAAACAATAGCAAGAAAAGCAACAACAATAGCAATAATCTGAAGAACAAGCCCACCCCCCCCCCCCCAAAAAAAAAAAAAAAAAAAAAAAAATTAAATAAAAAATTAAAAAATGGAGTGACAACGATAATGGAGATGTAAACGACGAACATAAAGAGATCAAAAAGATCATTTCGGGGGTCTTATTTACTTTACTTTCAAGTGTGTTCCAAAAGAATATCTGGCAACTCTTTGTGCAGGAATACAGAAAAGTATTAATATAGGTTTGCAATGTATAATGGTGAAAAAAAGGGGGGGGGGAGCTGTAAAAATGTCTGTCTATCACGAATCCAAATCTTCCAATTTCCAGATCAGGTGCAAGCAATGATGTAGCAAAAAAAAATCATTGAGGGGGGAAGTTGGGATCATGGAGGAGGTGGGTGTGCTTGGACGAAAACAAGGCCAACCGAATACTATAGGGAAGGATGTTATAGAGGATCATCCTCTTTAAATTTGTTCGCGACCCCATTTCTTTAAGTTGTCTCTCATTTTGTATAACCGTTAGAAGGGTATCAAAGGGGGCGTGTGCCCCCTGTAACGCCACTGGGCCCACTCCACCCAAAAGAAATACCACAAAAATAGTTCTTTAATGATGCGAGGGCAATGGTTCTCCACGGCTCATTTCACGTCGGCTCCAGGTTTTTTTTTTCTTCTTCTTTTCTTGTCCGACTTGGGTCTATATACCAGTGTACATCTTGTGTGCAATACATTTTGACTATTTCAGTGAACTTTTTACTTTGGGGGGACATTGATGTAGTGCTAGTGTAGCTATAAAGAAGTGGAAATCCACGCTAAAAGGAGTTAGTTAACAAGTACTGTAGTTTAGAGTGGCTTCCACTATAAAGGAAGCCCTGCTATGAATCTAAAAGAGCTTGTGGATATCCACCCCTCTCCAAGATTACCGAACCTTGCCTACAGCACAATAAAAGTGACCTGTTATTTGCTCTAGACATTATTTTATCGAACTTATATGATTAGGATTAAGCTTGGGTTTACGGTTGTGTATATACTAAAGGTAAGGGAATTGTGTATAGCGTTGGGTGGAGTTAAACTTTGGTCTTCTGTTAGGGTATGGGGAGCTCACTGTAGCTACGGCGTAACTTTCGCAATAGTACATCTAGAGGTACAAACATGCAATTAACTGTAATATTATACTGTATAATTTGTATATTTGTACTAGCAGTAGTTCATTTATTGCAAGTGTTATTGCATATACACTTGGAGTAAAGTAAATGTTTACTTAGAAAACAAGACACAAACACCAGTCAAGCACACCTCCGTTTAGGATGTGCGCTTGTTGTCAATTGAGTGACGTCACATTAATGCTTCTGCATGGACTGGTAGAACACTTATCATTGCATTTAACAGTGATCAATTCTGACTGAGAGCGTAGACGATCTCATACGTCTTGCCAGCTTGCAAAAGCCACATGGCTTCGGAAAACATTGTCTAGCCGATACGTCCACGCTAGCTGTGCAGCCTACATGGCGTAGCCCCCGTTCTCCAATTGTGGGGGCTCAGGGGCTCACTCCCTGTGTGACCTAAAAGAATAACGTAGCAACTTGCAAGGATTGGGATATGGGCCGGTATTTGAATGTTTTAAACCCAACTGGAGGTTAGATATTGATGGTACAGACCTTGTGAAACAAAGTAATTATAAGTTTGAAAAAAATGTATCGTATATTACCTCATAGTGGTTAGTAATTAATTGTTATATAAAGGGCCTTTAAATAAATGACATGATATAAAGAAGGATCAGAGTGTAAAATTATCAAAGCACAGCTTTTAGAGAGAGATTTCGGTCTCAATATTAGGGTCGCGAAAATATGATCACTCGACTGGTCGACATATTCATTTGTGCAAATTTAATTCAAATCAATTATGTGCACCATCTCTACTTTCTGCTAAGTATTCTGACCATTTGTATGCATGATGAACAAGTCATTATAGACCATCACACTCTCATTCCCTCTTTTTTCTACGATTAAGATAAAATACTACTAGAGAATGTTTGAATGTACCTACAAGGAAGCCCCCTTCTTCACAGAACCCCTCGCCCAAACTTGAACCAGTTCAAGTACACCCCTAATAACATGTTGTAAGCCTCCTCCTCCTCCTGTTCCAACGAAGAGTCTTAAATACCTGCTCTGCGGGACTTCTTCCCCACATACGAGACGGACCCTAACAGATGCGCAGGAACATCCCCTAAAATCCTTGCTGGCAGAAAAGGTCTTAACAATACTCACCGTGTGACATCCCTCTTGCTATCTCCTTCATTAGACAAACCCTGAGACAAGAGCGAAAAAGAACGAAAGCGGAAAAGTACACTACCGTGAAGGAAATTGAATTGGTTCTCAAATAAACGTTTGCATCGGGGAGAAGAAAAATGGACGGACATATTCTAAACAAATCGTTGGCTAAGTTGGTCTTTCTTTTGTGGATTTATTCAGTATTTTGTGGTGCTTTCAAAGGACTAGTGCAAGCAGAAGGTAAGACTAATTCAAGTTTGTTTATAACTCGTTATTCATATTTAAAGATAAAATGGCAACGTGTCTTAGATTATATCATGTTCATGACGCTGCAAAATGTATGCATCCCATCATAATCCATTCATGATCGAGAGCCCTTAGATCCGTCCCGTAACTGGCTGTGTTCTGCAGCTGGCCAGCCGTGTTTAATTACTACCACTTTTTGCAATGTATTCATATTCCTACACTTTTGTGAACGTAATGATGACTGACTTACCCTTCGCTGAAACAAGTGATATTGATTTAGACATATTATTTCACAGTTTGCATAATGTTGATTTAACTTCCTCATCTGACGAACATTATGAGAAACGTATTTCAGATATCCTCAATAGTAAATTCGATGAAATGTTACTTCAGTTTGATCCTAACGATATTCATCATGTAAGAGAATCTCAATACCTTACTCAAAACCAGTTTATTAAAAATGTTAAAAGCACATCAAAATGTGATTTAAATTTCTTGAACCTGAATATTCGTAGCCTGAACAAAAACTTTTAGCAGTTAACTTTATTTCTGGACAATATTGATCTGTGTAACTTTATTATCGGTCTCACGGAAACATGGTTGCAAGACCAGCCTCATTCCTTTTTTTCTCTTTCTCAAGATAACCTCATATTTAATAACCGTACGAATAAAAGAGGTGGAGGCGTTGCAATGTATGTTCCAGACCATCTAAATTTTAAAGTACTTTCTGATATAAACACAATGAATCTGGCAGTGGAAGTGGTCTTTATCGAAATTGTCTTACAAAACAAGAAAAATATCGTAGTTGGTACTATTTATCGCCCCCCCCCCTTCTTCAAATCACAACGAATTCTTAGTTGAAATGCAGCATTTACTTGCTCACCCCCTTCTTCAAAATAAACATTGCATCATTATGGGAGATTTCAACGTTGATTTGTTAAAATGTAATGATAATCAGTTCTCTCATGATTTTCTGGATACCTTACTTTCATATTCTTTTGTACCAGTAATATCAAAACCCACGCGGTTATCCACTCATTCGTGTACTCTCATCGATAATATATTTGTAAATATTGATCATTTACAAACTGAATCTGGCATCATACTGTCTGACATATCAGATCATTGTCCAGTTTATTGCAAAATTCAAAATTTATTTAATTTTGCTAAATCACCTCCCCCGTCAAAAATAATAAGGAAATTTACAGCCTCCAAAATTGATAAATTAAAGGGAAAGTTGGGATCGATTGATTGGGCAGAAATTTTGGCTCATACTGATGTAAATGTGTCTTACAACAATTTTATTCACGTTCTAAAATAGCTCTTGACGAATGTATTCCTCTAGAGAGATGCAAATATTCTAGTTATAGACATGAACCACGTAATCCTTGGGTCTCTAAATCTTTATTAACCCGTTGACTACTGAATTATCTAATTCCCATAGACTTAACACAGGGACCACCAGGTTCCAGCAAGCAATGAGTTAAGATCAATTAATAGGAAAAATAACTTGTATTATAAATTTCGTGCGAATCCCAAACCTAAACTTCGTGAAAAATATGTTAAATATAAAAACATATTGACAAAGATTATGCGATTAGAGAAACAGAGATATTATTGTGCCCAGTTTGAAAAAAAGATATACAACAAAAAGGAAACATGGGGAGTTACTAATAAGGCATTGAACAAAAAAAGTGGGGAAAAAAAGCATAAAACAAATCCGAGAGGATAATAAAACCATCAATGATGAAGAATCTATTGCTAATCACTTTAATGATTACTTCTCAAACATTGGACCCAATCTTGCCAAGAAAATTCCTGTTGTCGAAAAACCCTTTCATTCTTTTTTGAAGAACAAAAATCAGAATTCTATATTTTTTAGTCCAACCAACTCATCTGAAATTCTAAAACTTGTTAATAATTTCAAAGAAAAAAGAAGTGCTGGTTATGATGAAGTCAGTAACTTTTTATTGAAAAATATTATACACGAAATAGTTGTTCCCCTAGAACACATATTTAATCTTTCCATGTCTCAGGGTACGGTTCCCGATGCCATGAAACTTGCAAAAGTTGTTCCGATTTTTAAAAAGGATGACCCCTTAGATTCATGTAATTACAGGCCCATATCTCTCCTGTCTTCCATCTCTAAAGTGTTAGAAAAACTTATCTATGATCGCACAGTAGCTTTTTTAGTGAGTAATAATATATTCTCCGACTCACAGTTTGGCTTCAGACAAAAACATTCGACTGTTCATGCTATTTTACATTTCATTAATCATGTTACTTCTGCAATCGATGATCACTCTCATACCCTTGGGATGTTTCTGGACCTCTCCAAGGCCTTTGACACAATCGACCATCAAATTCCACTATACAAACTTTCACACTATGGTATACGTGGAAGGGCCTTGGAGTGGTTCGAAAGCTACCTCACGGGTAGGAAACAATACGTATCCATAAATGGAGCAGACTCGACCTTTCAACAGTTAATTTGTGGAGTGCCACAAGGATCCCTTCTGGGGCCTCTTCTATTTATATTGTATATGAATGACTTTCAAAACTCATCCAATGTTTTGTCGTTAATATTATTCGCTGATGATTCTTCTGTGTTTTTCTCACACAAAAACCCCAATACACTACTTGAAACCGTAAATCTTGAAATGAAACTTGTTAAAGAGTGGATTTGTGCCAACAAACTTTCCTTGAATTTAAATAAAACTCAATGTATGCTCTTCAGCAGCTCTATTTCGGGATTGCCTGGCAATGTTTACATCAATGAAACGATTATAAACTTAGTTGATTCGTCAAAATTCCTTGGTTTTATCATTGACAATAAACTTTCTTGGAAAGAACACAACTTATATTTAAGTACAACTCTATCAAGGAACATTGGAATAATCAATAAATTAAAAATGTCTTTTCCTAAGTATATTTTGAAAAGTTTGTACTCGACACTTATCTTGCCTTATCTGCACTATGGCATATTTGCATGGGGTAATTCGTTTAATTACCAGTTGGACGAATTATTGATACTTCAAAAACGCGTCATACGAATAATCTGCCACACTAATAGATTAAGCCACACTAAGAGTTTATTTTTCGAAAATAAAATATTGAAAGTTCATGACCTGTTTAATTTATTTTTAGGCTGTTTTATGTTTCGATTAAATTCTAACGAACTTCCTCATGCCATCACGTCGATATTCCAAAAGAATCGACAACTTCATAATTATCCAACCCAACAGTCTTCCTTTTTTCACTTACACAAACTGAGAACTTTACTAAAACAAAAAACTTTGATTTATACTGGTCCTGTGTACTGGAACTCCTTAGACAGTTCGCTCAAACAGCTGTCAAGTTTAATTACTTTTAAATATCACTTGAAACATAATCTTCTACTCTAGTATGAAAATGAGTAAGGTCATCATGATAGAGACCATCGGTATTATCAACACTTGTTGGCTGGCTGCACCACACACCCGTTTTTGTTCTTTTGTTTTGTTTTTTGTTTTATATGTTATGTAGCAAATGTATTATGTAAAGGGAACCTTAATTACAAGCATTATGCTTCCAAGGTTTCCTCCTCATTACTGCAGATAATTGTTAGCATCATATGTATTTAATGACTTGCCATTACATTGTTTTTAATACTATATGCCTTACTTTGTAAATTCTTTTCATATGCAGTTAATGTGGAAATAAAACCTAAAAAAGATTTTTTTTTTTTTTTTTTTAAAGAATCAAACCCCTACCTGTAATTTTGGAGGAAAAAGTTAAAGGGAGCTGTTATTTTCTAAACCAAAATTATAATATATTTTAAAAAGAAAATGTCCCTCTTCAATAATAGAAACCATTTATTCCAGTCACTTTAATAATGGCAATTTCGATAAATGAATATGATATATATGTCTCGATCCTCACTTTATTACCATATCGTAAATTCTTACAAAAAAAACAAAAGTGTATTTACAAATGTATTTCACAAAAACAGGAAAGCGTGACATTTGATAGCGTTTTTTTATCAATCTGAATTTGAAATTTAAAATGAGGTTTTTGGAACAAGCATGTGAAGATTAATATTAAATATTTAAAAAATACGGACAAATGCAAATCCCTAATTGCTACATATTGCTAATTGCTGCCATGATATACAAGGAAACATGATCCCGCAACTTCGATTAAATCATAATTATCTTATATCTCAACGTCAACAACAACATGTTTTCATTTGCGATTGGTCTTGGCTTTGGGAAGTGCTTTTATATGTAATCTTGATCAATTTCTAGGAAAATGACAAACAATTATGACGGTATCATTAGTCACAAAATTAACAAAAATATCCCCCCCCCCCTAAAAGAGAGAGAGAGAAACATTCCTGAGGATTGTCAAAGAACATTATAAATGTATGTATTAAGGCTTTCCTCATTCGTAGTTTTTGTTTAAAGCAACTTGGTGAGATGGTGCTAAGGTAGTGATTTCAATGCTGAAAGTACAATTAAAGATAATCTGAAAGTTTGAGTAAAAAAAAGATCATTATTGATGATACAAATTGGAAAAAAACTGATCTGATCAATTCCTTAATTCTCCCAGCTATATTATTACAATTTAATTACATTTTAGGTGAATGAAAATCGTGTTGAAATATTTTTAAAAGCCTGTTGTATGTCTTGTTTGCATGAGAAAACGGTTGGGAAAATTCAAAAAATGGTTGGGAGAAAACCATAGATATCTTTGTTGTTTGAGAATTCTGTCAGGATTGCTTGCATTTTAGAGAGTTAGTTCAGTAGAAGGCATATAATAAGTAAAATTTAATCCAAAAATTATGCGTTTTTTTTCATCAACCTTTAACAATGATACCGAGTCACTTTAAGAACAGCATGTAGTCACAATGGAATGGATGAAATTAATTCAACCAATCTACTTTAAATGATTACCTATGATGTCCTATGGAGGACATTTGAAAATGAAAATAACGTAAACAATTCACGATGGACCCAATTATTTAACAGAAGTCGTAATGATTAATTAATAGATTTTTATTCGACAAGCTTCCAACATACAACAATATACAGGAATAACAGATACTAAATAAATCAGCTTGAACAAGATAACCCACGAAAGCTCGAGAGCTTATTTCCAATTTTTTAAACAAGTTTGGTGATGTAGGAAAAGAAGCTAGGTATTTTCGTCGTTTGTCATGTTTGGAACAGACAGAATGTCAAAGGTCATTGCCAACGGCAATGAGGTGGGAAGGAAATGATGTCAAGATATTAGCCAAATCTAATTACAGGGTCAAGTGGGTTGCATGGGCATGCTGGGATAGTAAAGTAAGGTTTACATTTTTTTTTTAAAGAGGGGTTTACAGCTGGAATGGCAGACGGGGGTGATAGCATTGTTTTTTGTTGATTGTCTGATATGTTATGTCAAGATATTACATGTAAATCTTTTTCATATTGGTGGCATGGGCGAACTGGGATATCTGGGATAGAATAAATTTAAAAGCCTAGGGGAATTCACTCTTTAAAAAGGTGTAACACTAATTGACTATTCCAAGATTACAACTTTTACTCATATTCAAATTGAAAACAGGGACAATGTAATAAACACATGTAGGCTTACTTGTACGGTTCAAGTCCTAGCAAATTGAATTTTCCTCTTTATGGTAATTTTAATTTAGCCTTTTTACTCCTCAACACATCCTTGATATTTGATTTCGCCACATGTTTTGGCCTTTTTTCGAACTATCACGGTACGTGGACAAAACATGGAACATTTCAGAAAGTCCCCTTCTCATCGAAATTGGAATAGTTATGCGCACACGATTTCTCGGAGAAAGACTTTTCTCGCGGTCAGAGGTATTAGACTAGTGATCAGCGTATTCCACAATATGTTTTTTTGTTGTTGTATAAATATAACTTAATTTCTCTCGCGGTACCCTACAGATATCTTGCGGCATTTTGTTTTTGAAAAAAGTGGACTAGACGGATATTCAGAAAGTGAAGTTCCACGAAGTCATACACTCATAGTTTATGTCTTATGAATATTATGAAAATCTTCGTTTGTTTCCTCTATAACCGCCGAACCCTCCCCCTATATCCACCCCTTAATCAGTTTATATCACCATCATGCTCAGAGGTGTCACATAGTTGAGTAGAAAGTATTATTTATTCGGTGTATCTCATTTAAAGTGCCACAATAAAGGATATATCACCACTGGCGGTAAATATACAAACAACGTTAAACCCATATATTATCTAAAAATTGCAATTTGCATCCAACATTGTCCCGAATGCGTGATGTAGGGTAGTTAATTCTAAGACGTCACACTATCGTATGTGTTTTTTGCCGTCATTTCAATTTGTGAGTGGGTTCTGGAAAGGGTATCAAAATTGCTTTATGTATTCCTCCCACTAGTGAAGACTTAACAAGTACTTTAACCAATCTGATGAGGTATAATTTACCTATTTTCCAAATGCTAATGAACCTTCTCTTTAAAGAGAAGGTTGTGTTCTGGGAAGAGGAGAAAAATAAATACTTTGTGAGCGTTATCGTTGTATTAAGTGTGGAACAACATTAGATACAATATTTCCCTGAAAATCATGGTTCTTTAAATGCCTTAATGGTAAAGACCAGTATTGGAAACGCCCCAATTTCAAAAAATGAAATGGAAGCTCTCATTACCAATCATGTGAAAGAATATGTTTTGACTAATACATGATGATAAAAAATTTGTCGGGAAACCGCCTAATAATTCATATATTTGTAAATTTGTTTCTCTCATGGTCTGTGAGAGATATAGGGTAGTCCCATATACATCTTTCTGTGTATAGTGCTTGTAACTTTACGAAGAATGGGCCAAATTTCTTATCGTTTTGATGATTCCAGAACCTTGCAGATGCTAGATGCTAGATGATCAACCTTTTGTGATCGATTCCACAACGTTTCTTTCACAATGCAATCGCATGACCATAACTGGTCTTTACCTTTAATATTCTAAATATGGGATCTAACATCATACAAATCGGGACAGATTTTTATGCCACATGTTCGTTTAGTCCCATATACATCTTTCTGTGTACAGAGCTTGTAACTTTACCAAGACTGGGCCAACTTTCTAATCATTTTGATGATTCCAGAACATTACAGTACACGCCAATATTTATATGCTAGTTGATCAACCTTATCTGATCGACTCCACAACGTTTATTTCACAATTCAATCGCATGGCCAGAACTCAACTTTATCTTTAAGCACTTGACTGGAAATGTAAAATAACTATCCGATCATTGGATCAGGATCCAGGTCATAGACCTACATTTGTGAATATCCCTAGGCATGTTTCTTTCTGGGAATTCTATCCTAGTTATTACAAAACCAGAAAACAGTAATGACTGGCTTCAGATAATCGACATTGCTCATGTTACACCAATTATAAGTGAAAGAATGCTATTCCCTCTTTTCAGTAAGTTGATTATTTAAAGATTTTGATATAGTCTTGAATATTTATGGGTAGAACACAAATATTTCAGGTTATAAATAAAGGAAAGTTCATAATTGTTTTGACAAAGATTTATATGAATCGTACAAGTTGCTAGTAAAGCATGGTTATAGCAAATTTGACATTACGGATATAGATATAAGCGACCTCTTTTGTTAGAGGAAGGAGCACAACACATACAGAGAATTTCACTTCTTGTTATTATATGCACAAAAGAGTATTTATTCAGGGAAACTAGTTTGTTCATTTTGCCCAAAAGATCCAGAGACCTACTTACACTTGCTTTTCAGTGTGGGAAGGTCAAACAGTTATGGCAATTCATTACTGAACACTTTGATTAAATTTGAATTGCATTAAGAGATATGGACTGCCGATCACAAGGTTCGCGGTTCGAGACCCGCCGCGGCACTAATGTCCTTTGGCAAGACATTGATCTACATTTGCCACACTCAACCCAGGTGATGTCAATGGGTGCCTGGCAGGAATTAATTCTTTGGAATTCTAGAGCGCCGTAATGGCAGCACAGCTAAAGCCGGGGTAATAATTTCAAAGTTTGGAAGCGCTTTAGTGATTGTAAAAAGCGCTATATGAAAACTGAGTATCATCATTATTATTAGATACATTTTTGGAATGAAGTGTTTGAATGTTATCATAACTGTGTTGAAATGTACAATTTTGAAATCTAAGGCAGAACGTCATTTACCTTCTAGAATCATATATAACAAACTATTACGGACTTTATAGAGGAGGAAAATAACTGAGCAATCAAGAGAGGCAGGTTTTCGTTGCATTTACAAAAATGGGAACAATTAGAAGTGAATATCAACGTTAACAGACCATCTAGCTCTGTTTGTTTGTTTGTTGTTGTTGTTGTTGTTATTGTTGTTGTTTGTTTGTTTGTTTGTTTGTTTTTTGTTTTTTTTTGGGGGGGGGCATTCTTGCGTGTGACTGATGTTATTGTGGTGTTGCACAACTATGTGAGTGGGTTGGGTAGTAAGGGAGGGGGTCATAATTTGTGTTATTTTATAACTGATTTCGTTCAATCTTTCTTTTACGATTGTTATTTATGCATTTTACATTGTATTGAATTATTGTATTGTGTTATTTTGATGAAAAAGATTGTATTCTGAAGAATTATTGATATTGTTTTGATATTGAATCAAAATTAAAATTATAATTACGGGGAAATGTTTTACGGTGGGTGTGCGTGTGTGTGTGTTCGGGTTGGTTGTATTGGAGCATCCTTTGAATGGGAATCTGAATCAATTTTCTCCTCTGTGTTCAGGTTGGAACAGTGATGGTCATAGCGAAGTTTACAGCAGCGTTGATCTTGTACCATGCATCTTCAAGGGCGAGATATATTCCCATGGTGATTCGTGGATCATTGATCGAGATACAAAGTGCCATTGCAATGACAGTGACGTCATTTGTGACGTCATGACATGCCCGTATCTGAACTGCGACAATCCAGTCGCCATCCCGAAAGAGCCTTGTCCATTGTGCTTCCATAGTAAGTATCAAATGTAAAAATTGTAACAATATGATCAAATACGATGTTAGTTTATAAATAATTCCCAATGTGATTTAACAAAAAAAAAAATCATATTTATCATAATTTGTTTAGATGGTGATTATGAAAATGGTAATAATATATAGTCACATCTAAAAACTACGACAAAAAGATGAACAATAAGAACACCCAAAATGGTTATTATGAAAATATTCTTATAATAATAATGATAATAATAATAATGATAATAATAATAATGATAATAATACTAGTTATTATAAAAGTAATAACGATAATATTGATAATAATCATAATCATAATAATTTTAACAACAATCACACCAAAACGAATACTTATAATAACGATAACAATAATGATAACGATATGATATGTTTTTTTTTTATCATTAAGGGTAGCTTCATTTGCATTATTAATTTAAATCATGAGGACCCGGCAGTCACGTCATGGTACAATTAATATTGCATACTCCGTAGTTTAAATTCACAAAATACGTGTATAATGTACAGATACGTTTAAAACATACAAAGTGCTGTTGTATTTCCAAGTTACTCCAAACTTACACAATTATTCATAGGTAGACATGGTAAAGTTTATGTACAAATATTAAGTGAATACTTTCAATAATAATTATATTCCGCTTTCATATTTAACTTAGCACATATATTATTCCCCCGATCATCGGGTTCAGGCTTGCCCGTACATGATGTGTGCACATTCTTCTCTCCCTGGGGATCATTCCAGCTAGGCGCCATTTTACAGACGCTCACAATTCTGAGCAAACTAAATCAACGTTCGCATCCTACCTGGTACCCATGTAACACATGGGTGTAGAGGGCCAAAGGAGCCGCGGCGGGACTCGAACCCCGTATCTTGTGATCTGCAGTCGGATGACTCATTAACTAGACCACATCACCTCTACCTTTAAACAATTTGGCCCGAATTCACAAAGGAGGTTTGTCGACAAACCGAGGTTTATGTGCGTCATACGACGCGTTTCGACGCGTTTTTACAAACCTTGGTTTGAAAAAACAAAAGAAGGTTTGTCGAAACAAAAGCAGGTTTTTCGACAAATCTCCTTTGTGAATTCGGGCCTTAGGGTTCGCGTGCAAGTATTAATGTATACTTCATGTTCGATAGTAAATTTGATTAACCTCATGATATTGGCTATCATGTTATCCTATCTCGCTAGGCTCATGCTATCACATACTTTTCTCAGCTAGGTGGAACTTCTCCCCAGGGATCGGGCCAGGGATTCATTGGGAGCACTTTAACTGCCACAAATAAATAATATTATATTCCACATACTAAGAATCTTGCTCTACGATTGGTCAAAAGTAAATCACGTGATGAAAGATAGTTCGCCCATTATTCATGGGAGAAGCAAAAAGTTCGTTACACTGTGTAAATAGTACTACTATCTACACAGTGCAACGCACTTTCACTGAAGATAGAGGTACTATCTACACAGGGTAACGCACTTTTACTGAAGATTATCCAACAGCGCACTTAAACAGGCGTAATTAAGCGCGCATTACCAATGAGCGCAGTTATTAAAGCGAACACATGCGCGCACCGTACCCTGAAGGGGTTGGGTTAAACTTTTAACTTTTTGGTGTAGATTTGGGCCTGGTGTCTTTCATGTATAAACGTCCTTTTCTTTTTGTAGTTGAATTGTTTTAGATGTGGAATATAAAGCAAATAATCACCTTTTGGTTTCAGGCGATGGCAAATTATCACTTCCTCGTCGATCAGAATGTATACGCTATCTTTCCTCAGCTTCGCTTCGGAAAGATAGCTACATCCAGATCGCCTCGGAAGTGATAGTTTGTTCCATCACCTTCACCAACGGTAGTTATTTGCTTATTATTGACTAAGTAGGCCCTGTAGTGTACCATTCGTCCAAACCATTAAAGGGAGAATGAAGTGTGCGTGTGTGTGTGTGTGTGTGTGTGGGGGGGGGGGTGGCACCGCCTCTCAATGAGATAAAAATGTGGATAAAATATGGATGAAATTAGAATTAGCACAGCCATATATCTCTCAAGTCTAACTTTCTCTCTCTCTCTCTCTCCTTTTACTATTCTCTCTCCCTCTTTCTCTCTCTCTCTACCCATACAGACGTCATTGCCCAGGCGCTACACGTTGAACTTCGCCGTCTGAATGACGTCATGACTGGCCACGGCCAACCCGTCACATTGACCTTTAACATTGACGTCCTATTCGACGAATTCTCGCAGACGACGAGCGTGACCGGTAAACGCCTATGGAAGGTCTCGGCGTGGGCGAGCAGCGACCCTGACGGGGGAGGAGCGCGACACGGCTACGTCGACCAAGTCCTCACCGCGCGACAGGCGTCACGGTTGCACAAAAAGGATACCGATTTCGTCATCAATGACATCACCTTTGACCTCGTTCCTCCATCTTGTGAAGCTGTGCGCCATATTTGCCTCAGTTTTGCCCGGGGTGACGCACCTACCACAAAATCGGGACTGGAGCTCATTTTTACCGGACCTAGGGAGGATAGCCGAGATATCAGGAAGTGTGTGCCAGCCCCAACTTGCAATGGTAATTTATTTAGAGTCTACAACGAGCAAAATACCAGCTGCACAACAGGCGTCAATTTGATTGCTTTATTACCTCCGCTAGTTTATGGTGTAAAGGTGGTCATCATATATAATCTAACACAATGTCAATCTTTGAACTGTTCGTTTTACATTCACTTTGGTCATGCCAATTGAAGACACATGGAACGTCAAAGATCATGCTATTCCTTTTCCTATATCAGAAGAAAAAAAAAAGAAAGGAGTGAACCCTTTCCTCATTTTTTAAACAAAATGCCCAGGTATCCCAGCTCTCTTTGAGGTTAAAGTTCATTATCAAGTCATGTAACCCCTATTTTCATGGGCATCAGCTGTAATAAGGTTAAGTTACGATCAAGATCCATGACCTATATATAGGTTATTGAATTATCTCTCAAAACAAGAGCACTGGCTCTCCTCCTAATCAAACGGTGGCGCGATACCCCCTTGCTGTCCAAGGCCGCATTCACACATTGCACGGTAAACAAACTAATGAAGAAACAAACAGACAAACAGACAAACAAACTAATGAAAAAAACAAAAACAAATATAGCTGGGGCTGAAAGGGAAAGAATGTAAGATTTGTTTTGGATGAGGGTGTGCCGCTTAAGCCTCGAAACCCCTACCCATTATTAGGAGTAATTTGGGGGCATTTTTTTCGAAAAAGGACCCATGTTTCACATTTTTTTCTTTTCTTTTTCTTGGGGGGAGGGGGGGTTGCAGGTGGCAAACACCCGAAGAAAAAAATTGGGGGGGGGGGGCGGGGGGGGGGGGGGTTAAAAGTGGGACCCATGTTTAGGGATTTTTTGTGAAAAAGTGAGCCATTAGAGCGGCACACCCTTGTATGTCCCAATATTTGAGTACCGCTTCCCCACCCCCACCCCCCCCCCCCCCACGGGGGGGGGGGGTGTATGGGTACCCGGCTAGAGCGCCATTATGGCAGCCACGCTAATGCTTATTACGGAGCTACAGGACTTTTAAGTCTGACAGACATGAATACTATACAAGAACCCCGTATAATTATTGTCGTCATTATTATTATTATTCAGTAACACTTTTTTATAAACATATAACATTTAAAGGAAATTGGGGAGGATTGATCCCCCACGTCCTTCAACTTCCATTGAATCATCATTCCTTCATTTCAAATCTTTCCCGGACGCAAAACCCCCGACCCCCACGTCAATCAACTTCCATGGCTTCATTAGAATCATCATTACTTTATTTTAAATCTTTCCCATACGCAAAACCCCCGACCCGCACGTCCATCAACTTTCATGGCTTCAGTAGAAACAACATTCCTTTATTACAACTCTTTCACAGACGCAAAACCCCCGACCCCCACGTCCATCAACTTCCATGGCTTCAGTAGAAACATCATTCCTTTATTACAAATCTTTCCCATACGCAAAACCCCCGACCCCCACGTCCATCAACTTCCATGGCTTCAGCAGAAACATCATTCCTTTATTACAAATCTTTCCCAGGCGCAAAACCCCCGACCCCCACGTCCATCAACTTCCATGGCTTCAGTAGAAACACCATTCCTTTATTACAAATCTTTCAAAGACGCAAAACCCCCGACCCCCACGTCCATCAACTTCCATGGCTTCAGTAGAAACATCATTCCTTTATAACAAATCTTTCCCATACGCAAAACCCCCGACCCCTACGTCCATCAACTCCCAACGGCTTCAGCAGAATCATCATTTTTTTAATTTCAAATCTTTCACAGACGCAGAACCGCTACAACCCAAATCGTACACGGGTCAGACGTGTAGATCTGGAGGACGGGAATACCAAGCCGGTGAAGAATGGAAGAAAACCGATTGTAAAAATTGTGTTTGTGTTGAAGGGCGTCCGGAGTGTACTACTGAACGATGCTTACGGCCTAACTGCGCTGACCCAATACAAGTCGAAGGAGTGTGTTGCAGTCTCTGCCCTTTTCGTAAGTTCACATGCTCTGTTCCTCCTGTTCCGTTCTGTTCCGTTCTGCTCCGTTCTGCTCTATTCTGTTATGTTCTTTTTCTCTTCTGTTCCCAACCTTTATAATCTCGTTGCTTTCTTTCCCTCGTATTTTGCTCCTCAACTATATTTTGATGATAGGGGGGGGGGGGGAGATCAACAAAACGACTTTCTTTATTTTTCTTCCGAAGCAAACAATCTTGTCTGTAAAGTCGTTGAGAAGCAAACAAAGAAAGATAGAGGCAGAGGGAACGAAAAACTGTTTCTCAAGTTTCGCTGGTTGGGGAGGGGGGAGTTGAAATTCTACGCGGTTTGTGACTAATTATGTCGGGTTTCGACTGTGTGAACACGAATGCCAATGTATTATAATACATTTTCTCAATTCGTCCTCTCATGTAAACTCGCCTGTAGGGTTGATCGGATTAAAACTCTCATACTCCACGAGAGGGCCGTACGACTACAATACGGGGCAGATCAGATATCTCGACGTCACTCTCACCCCCACCTTCAGAGAAACCGCACAAACCACCGGGGTGAAAGGGCAACAACTGTGGAAGCTGAGTGCGTGGGCGAGCACGAATAACAAAGGGACTGGATCACGGATGATGTACGTCGATCAGATTCTCGACGACAGGCAACAATCGCAGACCCACACCAAAGGAAAGAAGTTCAAGATAAAAAGTGAGTCCCATTTTTATTTTTCGCAATTGCTATCCATATTTAAAATTGAACAAGCGAAGACCCATCTTATCACAGAGCTATTTTTGGTCTGCTTTACTGTGTTCATTTTATTTCCATTTCTCGTATAAAAATACATTTAACAATACATTATAGATATAAGCAAATATATAAATATAAATAATACAAAGAATATGGAGGAGCCAGCAGAGGCCATTGGCCTTTCAAAGGCTGGGCTCCAATGTCCGCAGATAATAATACAAACTAAAGAGAAAAGAAACAATGGGTAGTAAATAAATAAACAAATGAGTACAGGATAATTAAATTAAACATACGATAGGAATTCCTTCATTAAATAGTTCTTGTATTTACGTTTAAATGAGGCAACAGATGGGCACATTTTTATATCGGTAGGTATTGCATTCCAACTAATTACTACAGAATATTTAACTGATCTACGTGAAGTATGGTATTTTAACAATGGAATATATAAATCATTAGCATGTCTTGTGTAATGTGGATGAACATCCTTTGTTATTTTGAACATATTATTGAAAATAGAAGGTAACATATTCTTAAAGTACATATACATAAATGATCCAACTTGCAATTCATGTATTTGAAATATGGTAAGTACATTTAATTTCCTAAAAAGCGGTTCAGATGGGGTTCTGGGGTGAGAATTTGTAATTGCACGTAGTGCTCTTTTCTGTAAAACATAAACTTGATTCATTAAAGTTTTTGCACAATGTCCCCATATCAAAGTACAATAGGACAGATGAGGAAGAATGATTGCATTGTAGATATTAATCAATATATTTCTATATAATTCCCCTATTGCACATGAAATCTTCCGCCGGGTATTATTAATATGTGGAGCCCAAGTAAGATTTTCATCAAGTGTCATTCCAAGAAATACAGTATTAGAAACTTGTAATATATTATAGTTATTAATTTTAATGTCACAAATTTGACCTGAAAGTTTTTTGTTTTTCTGCTTGAATATCATATAATTAGTTTTTTGGAATTTATAAGTAATTTGATAGCCAAAAACCACAACTCAATTTTTGGTATTTCTGAAGTAATCATGGTTGACATTTCATTGATGTTTTTACCAGACACAAAGAGGTTTGTGTCATCTGCAAATATGATTGGGCAAAGGTTTGGGCTTACGTATTGTATGTCATTAACATATAATAGAAAAATTAATGGGCATAAAATTGACCCTTGCGGAATACCTCCAGCGAATGTCAATAATGTGGAGTTAACACCATATATATAAAAAATTGTTTTCTGTTAAATAAATAGCTGTAAATGTATCAATTCTAAAGGAATTCCTCTAATACCATAAAATTTCAACTTACGTTACCAAATATCATGCTTCATTGAGTCGAATGCCTTTGATAGATCCAAAAATATTCCTAGTCCAATATTCTTATTTTCAAAAGCTGTATTAAGTTGATCGATAAATTCAATTAGGGCCATAGATGTAGAATGTCCACATCGGAAACCAAATTTTCTATTGTATAAAATATTGTGTTTACATATACAAGACATAAGTTTTGCATATATCAATTTTTCAAAAAGTTTATCAAAGACCGAAAGCAGGGACACAGGTCGATAGTTTGTACACAAAGATTTATCTCCCTTTTTAAATATTGGCAAAACTTTAGCAACTTTTAAAGCATCTGGAAAGCATCCTGTTTCTATAGAGGTATTGAAAATATGAGTTAACACTGGAGCAACAATGTGTATACATTGTTTTACAACTTTGGTGTCTATATCATCGTAACCTGGGCTTTTGCCTTCTTTTAAACTTAACACTGTATTGATTACCTCAGATTCCTTTGTACATGTGAAAAATAATGATTGTGGATAATCACCACACAAATATTTAATAGGGTCTGTTAAAAGGGTTTTCTTTTACCCTTTTACATTGAAAGCGCCTATAGTATTTCTTTTTGTACATCACAGTATTTACATTTTGATGAAAAAGGGTACAGTTGTTAACTTTTTGTTTATCTCAGAGCGGTTCCTGTTTCTTCTATCACATCCCGATCTCTCATCATGTTCATAGTCAAATATTAATGTCAGGACCCACCAAATATGGTATGCTTGGATTAAATGAACCAAAACTAACACACAAAAAATTAAAACCAAAAAAAGAAAGAAAGAAAAGAGAGTAAGATCTTGCTGATCTTAACTCCCACATAAAGACCCACCTATTTTATATCTGAAATTAAAGTCCCTGGCATGTGTGTGTTTGTGAGTGTATCTGTGGAGTGTATTCGTTTTTGTGTCTGTGTGTGATAATGTATGTAGTCTTGTTTGTTAATTTTCAATCTTTAACTGTTTTTTCACTTGTTATCCTTTCAGGATACCATGTTACAAGCATTTTGCTTTTCGATGTTCGAAACTATAATTATATTTACTATTTTAAATTGATATACTGTTATTGTTTTCATTTGATGATATTTTATGGTTGAATCAATAAATACTTAAAAGTGCTCAAAATCCACAACCCACGCCGGACACGATTCAACTCCACTCCTCTACAAATCATTCTATTATACGATAATCATTACAGATGTTCTTTGACTTTGTTGACGAGTTTTGGCCGAATCCAAAAGATAATTCGGCAAAGCTCGGCATGGGTCAAAGGTATCCGAATACCGTTCGGATTATTATGTAGTAGTTGAACAATTTGACTAAGGGTCAGTAACATGTAAAGCTTTGAAAAAATGTAGCACATATTCAACAGATTGCAACATTCAATATTGCCACAGGTCATCATGTATTATCCCGTATTATAATGATGTCAGGACCCATGAAATATTTTATGCTGAGATTAAATGGACTAAAACAAACAAACAAACAAACAAACAAGCACACAAAAACAAATCCAACATGATCGAAAATTTGAACCCGTTATCATGAATCTTATCGGAGTTTTCTTTTTAACATGTATAAGTTGATTCAAATTTGTAAATTGTAATGTTTAATCGACTTTTTATCGTGTTTCCCTTTTAGATGCAAGGTATGATCTAGAGAATTACGAATGTGAGCTGGTGCGGTATTTCTGTTTCGCATTTGGTATTGGAGATGATCCACAACCTGAACATGGCGTCGAGTTTGAACTTAGGGGAATAAATCACGATTACATCACTTGCATAGATGCTCAAGATTGCCTACGTGAGTATGGTGTTCTACAAATGGTATTCTAAAGGCGGCTCTGGAGTATTATGCTAGTCGTGTACATATATGAAAAAGGGTCATGAAATATATGAAAATGTATCTTTTAAAGAGAAGGTTGAGTTATGGTGAGAGGTGAAAAATAATTTGTGAGCATCATAATTGTTATTATGCAACTGGGAAGAACATCAGAGAAAAAAAGTTCCCTGAAAAGCATGGCTCTTCAAATGCATTTATATTCTAAAGATGACATGTAACAGCTTAAAATGAGGCCCGATTTTGGTGGCGAAATATAGGGGTGTTGAAACAAATCTGGTGACGAAATATAGGGTGTCAGAACCAGTAGCGTACGCAGGATTTTTTCAAGGGGGGGGGGTTGACTTTTTTTAATCGGGCCGAAAATTTTCGACGACTCAGCCACCCGCTGAATACGCGGAGGGGGGGGGTGTCGGAACAAATCGGGTGACGAAATAAGAGGGTGTCGAAACAAATCGTGTGCAGAAATAACGGGGTGTCGAAACAAATCAGGCTACGAAATATAGGGTGTCAGAATATAGGGATGACAATAATATAGAGTGTCAGAACAAGGCGGGTGATGAAATAAAGTGGTGTCGAAAAAATGGGGTGCAGAAATAATGGGGTGGCGGAACAAATCGGGTGACGAAATAAAGTGGTGTCGAAAAAATGGGGTGCAGAAATAACGGGGTGTCGGAACAAATCGGGTGACGAAATAAGAGGGTGACGAAACAAATCGGGTGCAGAAATAACGGTGTGTCGGAACAAATCGGGTGAAGAAAAAAAGGGGTGTTGGAACAAATCGGGGGAATAAATAACGAGCTGTCGGAACAAACCGGATAAGGAAATATCGGGGTGTCCGAACAAATCGTGTATAGAAATAACGGGGTGTCGGAACAAATCGGGTGACGAAATAATGGGGTGTCGGAACAAATTGGGTGACGCAATAACGGGTTGTCGGATCAATCGGGTGACGAAATAACGGGGTGTCGGAACAAATCGGGTGACGAAATAAAGGGTGTCGGAACAAATTGGATGACGAAATAACGGGGTGTTGGAACAAATCGCGTGACTAAATAAAGGGGTGTCGGAACAATTCGGGTGACGAAATATCGGGGTGTCGGAACAAATCGGGTAACGAAATAAGAGGGTGTCGAAACAAAGCGGGTGACGAAATATCGGGATGTTAAAACATAGGGATGACAATAATATAGGGGTGTTGGAACAAAGTGGGTGAAGAAAAAAGAGGTGTCGCAACATAGGGGGGGGGGGACGAAATATTTGGGTGTCAGAAAATAAGGATGACAACAATATAGGGGTGTCAGAAAATAGGGGGTGTCGGAATAGAAAAGTGGTGTAATATTATGTTGTTGGAACGTAGGAGTGACGAAATATTTGGGTGTCAGAATGTAGGTATGACAAAATGTAGGGTGTCGGAACAAAGTGGCTGACGAAATATCGGGGTGTCGAAAATAGGGGGTGACGAAATGTAGGGTGTCGGAATAGAAAGGTGGTGGAATATTAAATTTTTGGAACAAAGGAGTGACAAAACATAAGGATGTGGGTACATAGTTGTGACAAAATATAGGATTGTCGGATCATAGGAGTTATCAAATATAACATATCAATAGGAACATACGGGTACCGGATTTTTGGGCTAGGAAAATTAGTGAGATGAAATGTTGAACTACACATGTTCTCCTGAACACGAAGAAGAGAATACAACATTATTTGTATACATCTGAGCGTGCATATATGAGATGCTGCAACGTGTTTGAGTGACAATACGATAGTCAATATGTTCTGATTTCTAATATATGTAGCTGACGAAGATCTGGACAGTCACTGGGTAGACCCCGATGCCCCAGTAGAAACTACAACGCAGCCACCCCCAACAACAACGCTACCACCAACAACAACAACGCTACCACCAACCACCACAACAGTCAGAACAACCACCACTACCCGGCGTCCCGTTGTCGACTCAAACTTAGTCGACGGAACAACTGGAGACAACAATGGAGCTTCGTCCGGGAAAGGCAAAGGCAAGGGAAAAGGAAAGGGTAAGGGTAAGGACAAAGACAGAGGCACTACTACTGGTGGCGGTGGTGTTGGAAGTCGGCCAGACCCTTGGGTACCTGTCTACTCGGAAGTTGAACCGCGCCCTCCACGTCCGTGCGTCACACGCGTCACCGAGCATCGCCATGGGAAACGATGGGACGCTGGTCCGTGCACGAGGTGTAAATGTAATGATGCATCCATCCGATGTCTCATCAAGAGTTGCCCACCGTACTTCTGTTACGATCCAATCGATATAGAGGGCGAGTGTTGCCCCTTCTGTCCCTCAAGTGAGTTGATATCCGCTACCGAAAATTATTTCTATTATTACGTAATTTAGAATGTATCGAGCGATTGTCGCCGAATCATGTACATATTGACCTACAAAGTTCAAGCATTGCTTTTTGTTGTAGAATCCTTCTACTTTACCAACTTGACAATGAACGCTTTTATAGTACATCCTTTTGCGATCATATTATGTGTGATAAGATTAAGTGAAAATAACTCACGCATCGATGTTCTGTTTTTTGCGTCGAACTGTACCATTTTGTTTGACAGTGGAAAGTTGACGGTTAATTTGAAACTCAGTTTACTCATGAAAACTCGTGAGAAAGACGTCAGAAGATGGGTTTCAAGCACAACGAATGATTAAAATCAAATACATGAATTTGAAAAAGAAATAATACTTTCTTGATTTTCCTCCTTTCAATTTTTTAACGCTTTAAGATGTGCTCGTTACCCAAGTTACACCAGCAATCATGTCTAACATCGGAGAACTAAGATCGGGCCAACGGGTCTCACTCTCTCTCATGGTGAACGTGACCTTCAGAGAGTCTTGGGATACTACCGGTGTTTCCGGCGAGGACTTATGGAAGATCTCAGTATGGACAAGCCGCAGACCTGAAGGAACGGACCCCTCCAACATGGTAGACCAGGCCCTCAGCGCCAAGCAGAGAGTTCAGAAGTACGTCTGGGGAGATCCATTTGCGTTCAAAGGTGTCGGGTATCGGATGAGGGTGAACAGCTGTCAAGATGTCCGCTATGTCTGCATCAAGTTCGGTCAGTCGGAAAACCCGCTAACGCAACACGGCTTTGGCTTCCACTTGCGAGCACGGCCCGATGAGGGCGTGCTTGAAGTCTGTACGCGTCTTCCGGATTGCAGAAGATAATTTCTCTGGCAGCGCAAGTAAATTAAAAGTAGTTAGAGACAATTTGCAAATACTGGAAAAGACTTGTAATGACTTTAGTTGTACAAAGCCCGTCTTTACGTCAACTTTATACTTATCACCTGTGAGCAAAATTAATGAGGAACTGCAAAAAATAGTCACCGCGTGGCAACGAGTCTGCATCTTATTACAAACTGACGGGTATGCTAAAGGCAACGGTTTCATTATAATAATCAAATGCAGAAGTATTTCAATTATGGAACAAACAGTCGGTTAATCGAACTATCGTTAGTTTAGCTTAAAAAAGAAGAAGCAACAGATTTCCAGCTGTGGAAAACAATAGTTTCAAGCTATCAAGATATGCACCATGTTATAATTATTTGTGTATATACCTAGTGATGTTGGTGTTATTGGTATATTACTTCAGCAATGACAAAGGTATACAAAGAAAAAGATATCATAATATGAAAAGCCCAGGATAATCACGTGACATGATGAAACGTACATGCAGCCAGGATAGGTAACATTTAAAGATATAAATCATTTCAAATCTGTTAAGAGAAAGGTTAGGTAGAGATAACCCCTACGTTTCTTTTATCCAAATATAAACATCGAACTATTGACATTCATCGCTTGGTGGACCAAAAGTGAAATTACACATTTAACTTGTAAAGTGAGCTACAGATCGATACGAGAAAGTTTAAAGGTACTATGTCCCATTTGCAGGCCAAAAAAATAAAAAGGTTAAATTCCAACGGCATTTGAAACATAATACTAATTTAGAACTTCCCTAAAGAAGGTGGGGCTTGAAAATGTCTTCAAGTGGAAAAATAACGACTATTAGTTGACGAATCGACTTAGGAGCTATGGAGCCAAAAAGTAATAGTCGTGATTTTCAGACCATTGTACCAAATGGTCACACGTTTTTATGCTGCGCAAAGATTCAATCAATAATTTAGGCCATCACAAGAAGTGGGTTATTGATGTAGACAAATGCTCATGTACCCTTTACAGCTCATTTTATAAATGTTATTACCAAAGAAGAAAAAAAGCCAGTCAGTCACTCAATAGTGTCTGACAGTGAAATCTAGCAAGTAAACAGGTTTCCTTGCATAATTTGATTATTAGGACACTGCTAACGTTCAAATTTCACAGAAAGGACATACATGACATATTTATAATTCCTGCAAAGTTCTACATAATTTGAGGTTGGCTGCAAAAGGGACATAGTACCTTTAAAGGGAGAGATTGGAAGATTGATAATTAGAGAGAGAGAGGGAGAGGGAGAGGGAGAAAGAGAGAGAAAGAGACAGAGAGAGGGAGAAGAAAGAGAGAGAGAGAAAGAGAGAGAGAGAGAGGGGAGAAGGAAGAGAGAGAGGAAGAGAGATAGAGAGAGAGTTAGAGAGAGAGAGTGTGTGTGAGAGAGAGAGAGGGGGGGGGGGGGATGGGGCGAACAGGTAAGCGTAAAGGCTCGTTCAAATGACGATGTTGGCAAGAACATTCAATTTATGTGTTATAATTTGTTTTGGGCGTTCATGTTTCCAGTAAATGAAAAGTTCTACCCTTCTTTAAATCTAAAAAAAGTCATTTGAAATTGTTTCAACTGTTCATTTTCAAAATATCATCAGAAGGAATAAATAATTGGAAACGCTCTTTTATTTTGTCCTCTCTCCCATTTATAAAATTATCATATTGTTTGCTTTGGTGTTTTAGCCAAGGCTTGTAAATTGTTAATGTATTTATACTTTTATAATAATCACCCCGCATGCTTGTTTTTTCATTCGAACGTTCAAGTCGACAACTAACAGTTACTGTATTGTTATATGCATGAATTATACTTCTTTTATTCTACAAACAGCTGCTATTCCGAACTCAAAATGTATGCATGAAATACCATAGATGTAAATCATCTAGCTATACTTGTATAAACCAATAGTTGGCAGTTTATAATCAGAAATGGTTGACAATAAAGAAATTTGAAAATGATTACTGGTGCAATGGCGGCATTCTTTCGAGCCTATTTAGTACATGTCTATATAAAATTTTATAAAGAAAAATATGTATTAAAAGTAGTATGCGCGGTGGTGGCATGATTTGTAAAATATATTTTTACATCGCGGAAACAATGATTTAATTGATTTGATTTGATTTGATTTATTGGTTTCTGCATCTTCTTTTCTTTTTTCATCATACATTTTCATGAACACAATAAGGTTTGATACAATATTTTAAGTGTATATAATTTTATACAGATAATAAACGAAATTAAACAAATATATTTAATGCATAATTAGCATACATGAGATGCAGGAGGGCTACAGAAGTAAGCAAAGTAGCTTGACGTGCCCGAGCCCTCAACTTAGATACAACAATTTAAAAAAAAAGAGTGACTTACAGAAAAGAAAAGGAAAGGGGAGAGAAGTAGCGTTGGTAATAATACAATAAATCTAATATATCTGCTGATTGAATGCAGGTTCATTCATGGATGGATAAACGATGCTAGGTCATGGATGATTATACTTTATTGGTCCTCCTATACAGCTTCTGCAAATTCCGGACGGAGTTAGCAGGATTGCTCTTTTCATACTTTGTGGCAGTTAAAGTTTAAAGAGAAGGTTGAGTTCTGGGGAGAGGTAAACAATAACTTGTGAGCGTTTTCATTGTTATGATGCAAGTGTGGAAGAACACCAGAGAGAACAAATGTTCCCTGAAAAGCATGGCTCTTCAAATGCCTTCATATTCTAAATATGGCAAGTAACAGCTTAACGACGAGGCCCACATTTTTATGCCACATGTTTGCGTAGTCCATATAAATCTTTCTGTACAAAGCTTGTTAATTTACCAAGACTGGGCCAAATTTCTAATTATTTTGATGATTCCAGAATCTTGCAGTACACACCAATACTTATATGCTAGATGATCAACCTTTTCTGACCGACTCCACACCGTTTCTCTTACAATGCGATTACATGACCAGAACCCTACTTTATCTTTAAGTTTAATTCACCCATACAATAACCCTTGAGCGACTTTGATAAGGAATTCTACGGCATCACCACAACACTTTAAAGGGGAAGTCCACCCTGATATAAATTTGGTTAAAGCAGGAAATTGAGAGAAAAGTGAACATTTGAGCAATAAAAATAGGAAAGTTTTGAATTTTGAAGTTGTCATTAGTGGAACACAAATTGGCAACACTGTGAGGTATTTTACGCGCTTCTCTCCTGTTTGTTCCTGGCAGAAAATATCATAAACTTTCATTTTTTAGTGATTCATGACGGGAAAGAGTTGTGTGACGAAAGTGTTGAGTAAAATCGTATTTACAATAACCATACATTAGGATGAATGTATGATTGAACATTTTCTTGATAGAAAATATAGATTTTTCAAGGTGTTTTAAATTAGGGCAAATGGGAGGGGACCTCGCAAAATACGTCACAAAGTTATCGATAGAACCTTCAAAATTTCAAAAATTCACAACTTTCTCATCTTTAATCAGCTTTTGCTCAAACTTTCACTAACACGTTTCTTTCTTTTTTCTGCTTCTATTAAAACCAACTCAATACCAGGGTGAACTTCCCCCTTTCAATCTGAAATGCCTATGGATTATATGCAAACTAACTATTAAAAGGAGCCGTCCATACCCTTTCCTGATATTGAAAATCCAGGTGTGTTTTAAACGACATACGAATAGCTTGACATGAAAACAAATTATTCTGGAGAATCATTTTATATACGTTATGTTGAAAATTTCGTACCCAGTCCTGTAAACATCCATTGCTGGAATTATTTGCTTTTCTGTTCAACATGACATGTCTATTCACGGAGAGGGCGCTGCATTACAATGTTGACTTGTTATGACAAACAATTATTCTGCAAAATTATTTGATATACGCTATATATTGAAAATCTCGTGCCCAGTCCTGTAAAAATTCATTGCTGGAATCATTGGCTTTTCTGTTCAACCTGACATGTCTATTCAAGAAGAGGGCGCCATATTACAATGTTGACTTGTTAATGATAAAGTTATGCGCATCGGATCACTGGAGAAGGGAACAAGATCCATTCGCAGCTCGCAGGGTTCCCCAAAATATCGAAGCTGAATTTCAAGAAATGCATCCTCCACATACAAAATGACAACAATTTTGTCGATCTTTAAAGGCCACTAGTTTATTTCATCAAATTATTATGCTGGCTCGGAACTTTTTGAATAAGTGAAAATTGTCTCCTTCTTCATCTCCTTTTTTCATATTCTTCACAATTCTTTCATTCCTGTTTTTCTTAAGTTTCATCATTGAATCAGTATCTAGTTTTCATTTCCCCGTCATTCCATTCAACTCTCAAATTAAAATCCATCTTCTTCCATCCTTTCATCCTTTCTATATCTCCTTTGTATATTTATTCTGTCACATTATGATCAAGCCTCGAGTTGCTCAGGATCTGGGCCCCATTTCACAAAACTTGTCATCAGTGACAAATGTCAGTTTTTGTTATAAGCCACTGAAATCCTTGTTTCTGTTTGTTATCAGCAGAATTGTCACTGTTTTTTTGGTCATTTGTCATTGAAAAAAGGCTTTGTGAAACGGGTCCCTGATCAAGTTGCTCAATGGCAATGCCCCGCATCTTCCGGCGCCACTACTACTCCACACGCATCTCATATTTCTACGAAAGTTTGTTGACCCATATTTTCTAGCCTACTTCCAAACAATCTGGGCAATGCTTTTTAGAAATATATCCCAAATACTCATAAATCCGTAATACTTTTTTAAGGCGTAGCAATAAAAAATTATTGATTTACTAAAATATACATTACTATTGGTCTGAGAAGGATTATGCTGAATATATTGATATAAGCTTAGTATTAAAAAAAAGTGTTGCCTGAAGTAAGAATAGTAGTTCCGCTCGCCGCCTGTTACGTTATTCAAGATCAGCTGGGTTGAGCCAGCCGCTGAAGGGTCGCAACACAACACAGGTGCTCATCGTATGCGTGTAGCTCTATTGTAATACAAGGATGCGGCAACGACACTTGAGCAAAACGTTTTGTAAGTAGAAAAATCATGAATGTGTTGCCCTATAAAAGTGTTATGATAGAAATGAAGGGCTATTTTTGTCTGTTGTATGCATTGGTGACTGGACTTGAACAACAGCGATGTTAAAGCGTTGATTCCATCTACTTTCACGAGTGTATGTGCTGGCCGGTGCATGAACAGGTTGCCTAGCTGTATAATTTCTGAATTTTGTTTTGATGCAAGGATGATGATGGCGTGTATTCATGTTCTAGATGAGGGATGTGGAAGTGCTCGTCACTTGTGTCGCGACTCGTGAGATAACCATTTGTTATTCATTGCTGTTAATGTTGTCGTTGTTATTCCTTGTGGCCTTTTATATTGGGGGGGGGGGGGGTCTGGGATTGTGGGAAGGAGGAGGGGGGGGGGGGGGGGGGGGTACTCGTAAAGACATACAGGTTTTCACGAAAAATCCCTAAACTTGGGTCTGTTTTTTCATAATTTCAAAAAAGTTTGGGTATTTGCATTGGAAACATTCAAAAATTGTGAAAATGGGCCTTTATTTAGAAAAAAAATCCCCCCACATGACCCTAAAAAATGGGCAGGGGTTTTGAGGCTTGAGCGGCACACCCCTGTCCAAACCAAATCTGAGGGGGAGTATTGGGCAAGGGTTGAATAACTTTTCTTTTGAATCACTATATTTACTGCATTTTTTTGAAACATTAGATAGATGATAGGACATATATGTGTGTCTTGATTTTTGTTATCCTGTGTTAAAAGAATACTGAGATTAATCTTACAATACATATTTGGGCGAATTGAAATTTGAATTTACATCCTGGCTCTACAATACATTCATAATACACACAAGTGGTAAAGGCTGAAAGGTCCATTATTTTGTTAACACTAAATTAGTGCTGTAGTCAAACGTTTAACCGTCCGGTATCCGACCGCCCATGGCGGATTCCGTTTTCAATTGGACGGTTTCGTTTTCCCAATTTTTTTTTTTTTTTTTTTTTTTTTTTTAAAGTTTCGATTTATGCCCCTCCACCTGGCACTATGCCTGGCAATGTCTCCCAGCTCAGTAATATGTGTGTTGACTCACCACTCCAATTTGTCTGTCATCTTGGTTTGAAAGTAATCTTTGTAATAGATCTCATCATCTCAATATGTAGTTTATAATAATAATTCATCCAACTTTTACACAAGGTTCTGTCCTAGGTCATCTACTATTTTTAATTTACATTAATGATCTTACACATTCTTCTAAAAACAACATTGTTACTATTATTTGTGACAAGTTCACAAGCACAAATCGGCCCCTTTAAATGCACCTCGCAGTTAAATGAAAGTTGCCGACAGAGTCGGTAAAAAAAATATTAAAAAAAAAAAAAAAACGATTTTTTTTTTTTTCTTTTTTTTTTTCTTTTAAATCGTTTAACCGAAAACCGTCCGGTTTTGACTGGCGGTTAAACGGAATTGGAGATATCCGTGATGTTACAGCACTACACTAAATATGGGTGAGGGGAAGGGGACATCAAAAAGTTTAATGAAGGAGGAAAAAAATTAATCTTCTTGGGTAGTATGTAGGCCTATCTGGTACATGTATATTGAAGTGGACATATATGTTGATGAATTGTTTTTATATCATGGTTAAAAACTATTGCTTTACAATTACTGTACACACATCTCTTTGAGCTCGCATGAGCAGGCCTGTGTATCCATTTGCATCATAGACGTACTCAAATCGTTCATTTCTTTTATGAATCAGGGGGCTATGAATCGTTGGCGTTTGAAAACTGTGGTTTTTGTAATTGTAATTGTTGCATACATTGTGCACAAGCTAGACTGTAATAATGATGCAGACTATAAATGAATAGACATGCAGACGTCTGGCTAGTCTGGCTTTCCACGTTCATTGTCCCCTGTCTCTCCGCTTTCTTGTGTTGTATCTCTCTCTCTCTCTCTCCCCCTCTCCCCCTCTCTTGCTCTCTCTCACCCTCTCTCCCCATCTCCCTCTTTCTCTCTCCCTCTCTCTCTCTCCCTCTTCCCCCTTATCTTGTTCTTGTTCTGTCTCTCCCTCTCTCTCTCTCCCCATCTCCCTCTTTCTCTCTCTCTCTCTCCCTATCTCCCTCTTTCTCTCTCTCCCTCCCTATCTCCCTCTTTCTCTCTCTCCCTTTCTCCCCATCTCCCTCTTTTTCTCTCTCTCTCTCTCCCTTTATTGTGTTCCATCTCTTTCTCCCCCATCTCTTGTTCTGCCTTTACCTCTCTCCCCATCTCCCTCTTTTTCTCTCCCTCTCCCCCTTTCTCTTGTTCTGTCTCTATCTCAATCTCTCTCCCCATCTCCCCCTCTCTCTCTCCCCCTTCTCTTTCCCTCATCTCTCGTTCTGTCTCTTTCCCAATCTCTCTCCCTCTCTTCCTCTCACCCCCTTTCTCCCCTCTCTCCACTTCCCTTGTTCTGTCCCTCTCTCTCTCTCTCTCTTTCTCTCTCTCTCTCCCTCTCTCTGTCTCTCTTTCTCTCTCTCCCTTCTCCAAATCTAACTCTCTCCCTCTCTCAATCTCTATCTCTATCTCTCTCCCTTTCTCAATCTCTCTCTCTATCTCTCTCCCTTTCTCAATCTCTCTCTTTCCATTGATTTATTCATTCTTCCTTTGGTTCCCTCTGTCTACATGTACGTACGTATACAGATTTTCTTTTTTTCTTCTGTTTGTCTAGCCTCTTTGGCTCTGTATCTCTTTGTCTCTGAGTGTTAGTTATGAAATTTTCCATGGTCACCATTTTCTCTTTCTCTTTTGTAGGTTTTCATCAATTATCTTTCATTCACCCCTCCCCTCTCTCCCTCCCTCTCTGCTGTATCTCTCTCGTTGTCTCACAACCTCTCTTTTCATTTCATGTGTTTTATATGTTTGTCTGTATTTGCATATAATTTTGTTGCTGTTTCAGTGTCTCAATGCTTCTTTTTAAGCCAAACCGATTGCCTATTTATCTACATGGAGTTTGTCTATCTCTCTGCCTTCAATTTGTGTCATTATTTGGTTGTACACCCAGTTTAATATTTGTCTTTCCCCATTGCTTTTGTCTTTCAGTCTGTCTCTGTCTGTCTGTATCTCTCTCTCTTTCTCTCTCACTCTCACTCTCTCTCTCTTTCTCTTTCTCTCTCTCTCTCTCCCTCCCTCCCTCCCTCCCTCTCTCTTTCTCTATAGATCTGTTCATCTTTTGTTCTCCCACTTTTCTCTCCTTCTCTTCTTCTGTCTCTATATTTCTCCCACATTTACCTTTGTAAAAAGTTCATTCATTGTATGAAAGCAGAGAATAAGAGAAACAAATCTGACCAATGAAAAGAGAATCATGAATTTGTTTCTCCCTTTGTCGTTCCTTTTTCTTTCTCTATGGATCTCCATCTTGGCCTCTTTCTGTCAGGACTTTTATTTTTTTCTCTCTCTTGCTTTCTTACTATGTTTTTATGTATCTCTTCTTCCCACTGTACATGTATATCTCACACACAAATCTATCTTCTTTCTAAATGATTATTCTTCTCCCATCCCTCTAATTGTGTTCTTCTCAGACTCTATTACCCAATCTTTTCCAATTAGTCACCCTAGACAAAATTAAGTAAGGAGAAAGGAGGCATAAGTTAAAAAATTCAAAACAATAACAAAAGCAGTCAAGCAGATACTCAAAAAGGACTATCAAACAGACAAACCAAAACAAACAAAAAACCAACCCAAAACACCATAACAATTCAACAAACACAATGCTTAGATATAAAAAGTAATGTCACTTTTTTGTGTCAATGTTGAGATTGTTTCAGTTAGTGTAATCACATTCAGACATCCATGAACTATGTTCAGTAGACTTGAATCAACATTTCCTGTATGTCTCGATTCATGTTCAGCGACCCTTCCTTCCCTTTTTTTTCTCCAGAAGTTCACTCTGAAAAAAGTCCGCAAAGAAATAAAACAGAAAAACTGTTACCTCTGATGACATTAATGGGAAATATGCTCCAAAAGTTTAGGAAAAAATAGCTTTTAGTTTTTAGTTTTTTTACATGTATTTTCGATGGAGGAACTTGAGCATGTCTGGAATAATAATATTGTATTTAAATTGACAGACCAGATATGAGAACAATGGAATGTTTATGATTCACGTGTTAGCTATATTGATATAGACTGGGAAATAGTAATAAGGCACTACTGCAGCTAGAAACCCAAGGACACAGTCTGTTTTCTTGTTTATATACATGTAGGAAACTTCAATACTGTGGGCATTTTAAGAATAAAAGAAAAATGCCCAGCTCTATGTCTACAAAAGTAGGAAAATACCTTTTTGCAATCTTTCATATTTCTTGCACCTGTTTAATCAGAAACTAATATGGAGGATTGATTAAGTTCACATTAATTCATTTTAAAAATGAAAAAACAGATCTCTTAAGTACCAAAAGTATTTTATTTCTCATACCATTTTAATTTCTTCATTAGAGTTTTTTATTTTACTCTTTTCTCCTCCTCCTTTGGCAATGTCTCCACCTATCAATCTAAGGTTTATTCAATTCTAAAATCAAATGGCTTTTAATATATATCCATCAGATACGTGCAGGGCTCTGATCAAGGGCACAAAAGTGTTACATATGAGGTGAATTTTAAAAGTCAATTATAGACTGTGGCAACATTATTTTTGTAATCTGCAAACATTATGCAACATATAGCTAAAAAATCAGACCTTAACAAATTGCCGTTAAGTGGCAATCAGTAGCTAAATATCACATCATCAAAAATGTTACGTACATAACTCGGTGTCCACTTCATGCTGATATTTCCCTTATAATTTTACTTTTTCTGACAAAGTACATTAGATGTTAAAACATACTGTAAACAAAACTTAAAACCATTGCCATATCAACTTTTTTCAATTTAGTTATTAGAATATGGCCAAAACAAATGTGGACACCAAGTTATGAACAGTACATCTTATTCTCTACATGCTTTCTCTTTGCCTCATTGTCAGATAAGGTTTTGCATTAGTCTGATAACGACTTCAATTGAAGGAATGATATGTTTCCTGAATGAAACATAATTTGCAATGTGTAAATAGTGTGTAAACTACTATTACAGGACTGAAATGTAAGATTTCTGTACTTAATCGTACATAACTGTGGACACCAAAAGTAAGTAGTTTTACATTCAAATAATAACTTCTTGTTCCTTAAATTCAATAAATGTTTGTTTAAATGAAAATGCAGAAGGGTGCAATTCATGCTGTATGGAATAAATAAATTTATTTATGATAATTATTTCAAATTTTTGATTGGTAGTAACGTACATAACTCGGTGTCTTTTCATAATGGTGTCTTAGTTATGTACATGACATGAAAAAGTTCAAACTGCAATATTTTGTAATATTCTTCTCACCAAATCAGATGTGTGTATGTCTTATACATTTTTTACTACCTTACCATGACAAATAACTAAATATAGGTGGTCTTATTGGAAAAACAAAACATGGAATACGTTCATAACTGTCACGTACATAACTCGGTGTCCACATTCATTGTTGATTAAATAACACATACAAGTTAAAATGCGGAATCCAATGTTATCAGTGCTCTTCATTCACCTATATACACCATTACATTATCATTTTGAAAGTATACAATATGTTCTTGTATAGATTCTGGTGCACTGGTATGTACATAACTGCAGGACACCAAACATTTTCCATTTACAGACATCTAAATATTTTTAAAACCATGACCCAGAATGAGATGATCTGATTGGAAATCAAAGATAAAGTGAAACTAAACATTATAACATTGCAAGCTTGTAAATAAATCAATTATTTATACACCATTCTTCAGTTAGTAAGGTTTGAAATTTGCAGGACACCAAAGTTATGTACATATCACAAAAATTGTATCACATGTAAATAGAATAAGAAAGTAAAATACTAGGAATTAACTCAACAGAAATGTTAATTATTACATAGATTCTACATCAAGATGGAAAAAAATCATAAGTTTTGCATCCCATTAGTAAAAATCTGGTAACCAATTAGTGCATGTTTTGAATGTAACATTAAAAGTGCTGAAAATAGGCCTTTTTTCATCATAAAATTGCTCTAAAATCTTTAATTTGAACTCAATGAAGCTGAAACCTTGTTTTGAGCTTCCCCAAATGATACTTTGTAATATAAAAATGCTAATTTGTTTCTGGGTCTCATGGTTTTGGATAATTGAACAATTTCCCAGTGTTCAATCTAAGTGTACCCTTGATCTGAGCCTTGCACATACCATTACACTATGCAGGGGAGAAAGGGTCCAAGTCTGTCTACAGCATTGTTTTGTCATCATGAAGAAAAGTTATGTATTTATAACTTGAATATACTGCCCCGTGATTCTGTAGCCCAGGCTGTATTATAGCCTATAGAATAAACTAATTCATGGATTTCTTTTTTAATTACCGGTGGTTGTATGTCTTCATTTCTCTTCTTTCCCAATGTCATTAATTTCATCATCTCCAAATTATCTTACACACTACAGGATTGGAGGGATCATATACTGGATTTGTTACTGATCTTTCTCAGACGCACACATATAAAGGGCATCCATCCACAACCATGGGCTTCCTTCAAAATCTTGAGAAGATTGAGGGCCTTGTGAAGACATGATCAAAATTTACATATTTTTGGATTTTTTTTTTGGATTCAGACTTGATTAAAGTGGAACATCGAAGGAGCATCAAACGAACATGAGGCTAGTGGCTAGGTCAGGTATTCGTACTTATACTAGTCCCATGCACTGGAATTGATGGGTATTGTCATTGTACTTGATAATTCAGTCGATAAATGCCAGTTTTGATGGAGCACCGGAAATAAGCTGTGCCTAGATTTCATCTCTTAATCTCTTTGTGAAAATGTTGATAAAAACATGACCGAGGGTTGTTTATTGTTAATGAGAACTTCAATACCGGTCATCAATTGTATGTCATCACTATCTTTACATGTTCTTCCTCTTCATCAAAGGATGTGGGAAGTCTTCAAATGCTTCACTCAAGATTCTAAAAGCTTCTGAGCAGGGGGAAGAACGCAGTGAGTGATTCACGCAGCCACTCCAGGTTTCTATCTTCCTCTGGTGCGATTAATCACCATCTCTGTCAAGCTCCTCTTCCGCGAGTGTTTGCTGAGAGAGATTCATCAATACCAAAACCAAACAACATGGAGGCCAAGAGGGTATCCCATGATGCAACGTCCTCAGCGGTCGTCATGGATGTTCAGCTGGACTCCACGGACGGCTACAGCCAGCTGAACGAAGACATATTGGAGGAGTGCGGTAACAGCATCACCGACTCCGACTCCAATTCGAGCCTCCTGCACACGGTGGTCGTCGTGGACCAAGCTTTCGGCACCCTTGACCGGACCAAACCGACCATTCCACACGCCGATTCGGACGAACTGGTCCAGTCGGTGAAGACGCTGACGACGCAGATCAAAGCGTTGACGGACAACACGAAGCAGCTTGCGCTAGAGGGATTATCGCTGCGTAACGAGTTGGAGAGGGTCGCGGACCAGGTCGATCAAGCGGAGAAATCAGATGAACTTACGAACCTTCTTGCCGTGGAGAAGCTAAAGAAACAGTTGACCTTTGTACCAGGAAGTGGAAGTGAACCAAAGAGGAAAGGTCAAGGGGAGCGACCTGGCAGATCTGAAAGGGAAAGTGCAATGGGTAAGCCACTTTTACGTGTAACATTTTTCTATTAATTAATTCATATATTTTAATTGTTGTTGTTGATGACTGTAAAGATGGGCATATATTATATTCAAATTACTTTGTATCCATGTATGGAGTAAATGTAATTAAGACAACATGATATAGCGTATGTTTAGAGCCAAAAGGGCCTTAACTCCTGATGCATTTCTTGATCATTTTGAAGCACAATTTTTTTAGGACTTCAATATTACCCCATATCACAGACACTGATAACACGTAGGGCCGTGCATCTCAGATTTAACATTGTTAAACGATGTCTTTAAAGGTACTATGTCCCATTTGCAGGCCAAAAAAATGAAAAAGTTAAATTCTAACTGCATTTGAAAGATAATACTAATTTAGAACTTCCCTGAAAAAGGTGGGGCTTGAAAATGTCTTCAAGTGGGAAAATAATGACTATTAGTTTTCAAATCGACTTTAGGGCTATAGAGCCCAAGTAATGGTCTTGATTTTCAGACAATTGTACCGAATGGTCATACGTTATATGCTGCGCAAAGATTCAATCAGTTTAATCTTGGCCATCACAAAAGTGGGTTATTGATGTAGAAAAATGCTCATGTACCCTTTACAACTCTGTTCATGTATGTTATTACCAAAGAAGTAAAAAAGCCAGTCAGTCACTCAATAGTGTCTGACAGTAAAGGCTAGCAAGTAGACGGGTTTCCTTGCATAATTTGAATATGAGGACACTGCTAACGTTTAAATTTCACAGATAGGACATACATGACATATTCATAATTCCTGCAAAGTTCTACAGAATTTGAGGTTGGCTGCAAAAGGGACATAGTACCTTTAAACAAAATTGATTTTATGCAATACCCAAAGATAAGAGCTATTGCTCTTGAAGGAAGCTGTACAAGACTCTATAGGCCTGTCTTCATCAGCTCGAGATTGCCAAATATCCCGCTATTTGAACTATCCTGATCACAAACTATCCAGCTAATTTGCGTCCTCATCAGCCAGAAGTTGCAATTACCAAGATATTTGGTCGGGATTGTCATCCAAAGATATCTTGGGATAGTTTGCAAAATATCCCACTATTTGGCCAGTCCGAAGACTCGCACTATGCGCGAACACTGAACGAAATATCTCAAGCTAATTTCTCGAGCTCGAGTTTCAAGTTTCGAGGTCAAATCACGAGCTGATGAGGACGTGATTTCTAACTTCTGGATTATTTCCCAAATAATGAATAGCGGGTTGATGAAGACAGGCCTTATAAGATGTAATTTGTCTTGAGGGCCCCGCCGACTCAAGATCCTGCCCAGCATGTCTTAATGCACATCTCGATAACAAATACATATTTATCATGAAGGCTTCAGGCATGAAAACAGGCTGACATTACGCGCAGACGCAGTGAGGTCAACAAACTTTGTGAATATCTTGGAGAAGAAAAATGACCACCACGAATGATGGGTCTAGTGCTTTGTGGAGTAAATCGTCTGTATGATTTTTTACTCCTCAAAGTACAGTTGATGCATACATTTCTGTTAATCTTATTTTGTCACTTTATTGCATTTAAAGCCCCTCTTAAAGTGTGGGAGCCCTAGAAATTTGATGGCAAAATGTCACATACCAGGTAATGATTGTATCATAATGAGAAAGAGGATGTCACTTAAGACACATTTCTGCAAGGATTTTCAAATAAAATATTGATGGAAAATGCCATATTATGATACAATCTAATTGAAATTTTGCCATCAATTTTTGGCAAATTTGGTGCTCCCAACACTTCCGAGGGGCTTTAAGCAAGATGCCCTGAGGAAGTTAAAATAGAAGCCATTAAGTTGTAGGCTTTTCATGATAGCAGCAACATGAGAAGGAGATGTTTACTTAAAGGGAAATCAGATAAAGGTAGCAGTACATGAATAATCTCTGTTGAGATGCGCTTTCTCTTTTTGCCGGAATGGCAAATTATCATATAGTCTTATTCTTGAGAGTTTATGAGAAAAAAGATCTCTTTCTTAGAGGGAGACTTACAAAAACATGTTGCCTTTGAAGATTAGTGGGAACTTATTGAAATAAAGTTATTGGGACTGAAAATCAAGGTTTATTCGAGCACTACTGGCAGTCACAGACTGAATCTTATAATGTTTTTACAGTGCAAGTAGAATAAAATATATATACCCGGTATACAAATTGTAACAATATAGAAAACATGTAAAATTGAATATATACGTAAAATAGATTATTTTTAAAAAATTGTTTAAAAAATGAGCATGTAATAGACTGTTATTGAAAGCATACAGAGCTATCCTTTGTCTTTTTGTATTATAATCAGACTTGACTAAAATACTTGATTTCATACATTCTGTGTTTTTAAATCAACTAACAAAAATGAAATCAAACAAACGACAAAATAAACTACTTTTGAATTGCCTATAGATTTAAAATAGATTTCATAGCCTGTACGATTCATAAAAGAGGCCATGCAATTATGAGTGATTTATTGATGCATTAAATCAATTACTGTTGGAATAAAACCTACTGTATTATAAATACTATTAATCACCGGACCGAATGGAAACCTATTATTTGATTTTTGAGAGCCAGAAGGGCATTTAATCCATGTTAAAAGAGAAGGTTGAGTTCTGGGAAGAGGTAAACAATAATTTGTGAGTGTTATCATTGTTATTATGCAAGGGTGGAAGAACATCAGATTAAACATGTTCCCTGAAAAGCATGGCTCTTCAAATGCCGTCATATTCTAAATATGACATGAAACATCGTAAAAATCCAGGGTAGGATTTTTTCCCCACGTGTTCGTGTAGTCCCGTATACATCATTCTGTGTACAGTGCTTGTAACTTTGCCAAGATTTGGCCAAATTTCTTATCATTTTGATGATTCCAGAACCTTGCAATACACACAAATACTTATATACTTGATGATCAACCTTTTCTGATCGATTCCACACCGTTTCTTTCACATTGCAATCGCATGACCAGAACTCAACTTTATCTTTTAGTATGATGTGATTTGTGACCTGCTGGCTCCAAACAGAAGATCTGATTGTTCCTGGTTGTTTGTCCGATCTATTTAGCCAATATTTCAAAGGCTTTGTCGGATATTATTTTATCGGAGGCAATCAATAATGACTAGTGAACATTTATTGCTGAATACTGCAACAATAGTTGATGAGGTTGACTTTATCGACTGGTAACATCCTTGGCTGTCCGCCTGGAGATACGAGCCTAGTCTCGTGCCTCCAGGCACGGCTGATCTCCATCGATCGCTCAGCGTGAATCGCGAAGAAGAACGCAGTCCTGTGTTATTAAATGGCCCACGGTGAAACACATGTGATTCTGTGGCATGAAACCTAGAGAAGAGCATAGTTCAATGTTATTGAATGGCCGGCCCTCGGGGATCGAAACACAGCCAGTGTCATAGTTCAGCATGAAAAGTAAAGAAGAGCAGTGTCTAATATGATTTTCACCCTTGGTTAATCAATAGTCACTTACATGTGTCAATTGAATTTGTTTTTTTCTTCACAACAATTGTAATAGCGCAGACATTGCTTCAAAACGCTGTTTCTTCATGAGCAGGACAATGAGGACATACAAATGAAGAGAAGCCTTTTTTTGAGGGAGGAGTAGAGAGAGAGAGAATGGTTGGGAGGGGTATATAGATGGAGCAAGCATACAGAGGGGTGGGAGCAGCACAGAAGACGAATGTGAGACGTACGAATGGAAAATAAGTGATAAGATGATAAAGTGAAACAGAGAAATAGAGAGAGAGAGAGAGAGAGAGATAGAGAGAGAGAGAGGAGAGAGAGAAAGAGGGGAGGGAGGAAGAGAGAGAGAGAGAAAGAGAAAGAGAGGATCGAGGAGGAGAGAGAGATAGCGAGAGAAAGAGAGGAGGGGGAGAGACAAAGAGAAACAGAAGAGTGGAGGAAGAGAGAAAGATAAAAAGAGATGGAGAGAGAAAGAGAGGAAGGGGAGGAAGAGGGAGAGAGAGATGAAATGAGGAGAGTCAAGAGTGTGAATGTGAATGCTTATTAGTGCGTCTATTGATGCATAATGCACACTCGAATTTGAACCTCATAAGCCTGTGAAAGAGAATGTGAGGTGCATGTACAGAGAGATGTAAATGTGTGTACATGTACGCATACTATAGCTAGCTAGCATCCAAATAAAATGAATATTTCTCCTTACAAACATGTGCATTAATTGTGCTAGTTATTCAAACATGGATGCTACAACACTTCACTTTTAAAGCAATTTCAGAGCGTGCATTACTGAAGAAGGCTTTTTTTTATTGATACAAATACTGTATGATGGTGTTTCATTGAAGAGGAGGGGGGGGGGGATGGGGGATGGAGGGGTTTCTTTCTCTCATGCACAATGGTGTGATTAGAAAGAGACAACCAGGATGGTATAGATAAGATCAGAGACAATCCTTGAAGGATGGAAACTCATTAAATGAAAAGGGTTATGTAATTTCATTACTAGAAGTACACCCATTACCTGATGAGATACTGGTAGTGCAAGAGATAATGAATCAAGGAGAGACAAAAGAAAGGAAGGGGGGGGGGGTAAGGACGGTACATGAATTAAAGAGAAGGAGACTGAGCAGCACAAAACCATTTTTTTTTTTTTTAAACATAGATTTTGAAAAAGAAATGCAGAGAGGGAGAAAATCAAAAAGGGACTACTTTTTGTTTATGGTGACAAATAAAATATTTAAAAATAACGAAGAGATGCATATTGACAGAGAAAGAGAGAATGACAGAATGACAAAGAAGGGGCATTTACACTGTCTTCCAAACACGCCAAAAAATGCCAAACCGGAGCCTGGCCGCGATGTTACCAAGGGCAACTACGCTTTACCGGCAGAAACGCCAAGCCCCAAACATTCCAAAACAAAGTGTGATCTTTTGGCGTGTTTTGGCGTGTTTTGGCGTGTTTGGCAAGTATAAACGCTCGCAGTTGTAACATCGCGATGTTAGGTAAAGTGACT